CGAAAATTTTTCTTCTGTGCAGGGTGATTTACAATATTAATCATAACTCCTCCAATTTTCAACCGATTTCGCTGAATTTGTATGCAATCGATACGCTTTTTCCCGCTGATTCCAAAACTGTTTTCAGATTCTTTCTAAGATAAATATTAATGACGCTAGGTCGATTTGAAAATTTCCTATAAAAAAATTAACGCGTTAACCGTACGCGCACTTTTGTTGCGCACTGGGCCTTACCACACCACCCACCACCACCCACTCCCACTACCCACAACGCATGCGCGGTATCTCGCGAACGCTTAGTCCCTTGCGCTTCTCTATATGATTTTTGAAATTTCTGGTTTATACTAAGTGGGTGGTGGTGGGTGGTAGTATTGGAAATATGTATATAATAGAAAAAAAGTAGGTGGGTGGGGGGGTGGTGGTGGTTAACTAAGTGCAATGTATTTTACATAGGTGAGTGGGTGGTGGGAGGGGGGTGGTATTTGCATATTCTACGTCCAAAAGGGGTGGATAGTGGGTGGAATTTGCATAAGCTAAAAGGGTTAACTAAAATCAGGTACTCCACCAACGGGTGGTAAATTACCGACATATACCCTACTAACGCCATCTAGTGACAGAAACTTATACCCCCACCAACAGCGGGTAAATTACCGATACATACCCCACTAACGCCATCTAGTGACAGAAAATTATACCCCCACCAACGGCGGGTAAATTACCGATACATACCCCACTAACGCCATCTAGTGACAGAAACTTATACCCCCACCAACGGCGGGTAAATTACCGATACATACCCCACTAACGCCATCTAGTGACAGAAACTTATACCCCCACCAACGGCCGGTAAATTACCGATACATACCCCACTAACGCCATCTAGTGACAGAAACTTATACCCCCACCAACGGTCGGTAAATTACCGATACATACCCCACTAACGCCATCTAGTGACAGAAACTTATACCCCCACCAACGGTCGGTAAATTACCGACATATACCCCACTAACGCCATCTAGTGACAGAAACTTATACCCCCACCAACGGCCGGTAAATTACCGACATATACCCCACTAACGGCCGGTAACTTACCCTAGCGGTCGGTAAGTAGGAATCTACATTACCGATATGTCCTAGAACCGGCATAGCTATACTACTAACTAATTATTATTAGTGCAAACAATTAATTATTAGTGCAAATTAATTTATTATGTGTTTTATATTAGTAAACACTATAATGAAATTGTAAAAATGAATATAATTATATTTATTTTTTTAATGTAATAATTTAGTAGTAAAAAAATGATTGATAGTAATCAGGGAGAAACAATTGAAAAGTATTAATAAAATTTTTTTTGAAAATAAATATCATCGAACACTATATTATACTGAACTATGAAAATCAAAATTCAATTACAAAAGCCTGTCCACCATTTACTATAGAGAGTGAGGTTGATTAACTATTAGGATCAATGACCGCATGGGCAGGTTAATTCATTGATAAGATCAACCCTCACTAGATCACGTATTATCCACTAATTATCACTAAACTTTCAAAAAAAGTGTCTGTATAACTTTTTATAAATTACTATCAATCAAAACAAACTCTTTTTCATAAATGGTATTACTCTCTTTCTAAATCTGAATTAGTAAAAAACAATAATCGTCCATTAATTAATTAATTAATTTCTAAACTATTTATTGTCATTTTTTGCTAAAAACTTTATAGCAAAAAAAATTGAACTAGTACCAATTCAAATTATTCACTTTTTAATTCAATAATTTAGTTTTTTTTCTATTTTATAGTATTCTAATCCATCTACTCTAATTTCTACTAAAACTAAGTAAATACTAAGTATATTATTTAAATAAATTATAATTTAGTCAGTGATGAATAAAATAATCCAATTATACTAAAAATTAGTACAAAATTTAAATAAATTTAATTACTGAACTAACCTAACGTTAACTAATTTTATCTTAATTCTAAAAATAATTAATTTGATAGCAAAAAGTCAGTCTCTGTTTTTTTTAAGTCCTAGTAATATTTTTAATTCTAGTAATCACATAATTAAACATAGTTAATTACTAGTTTTAATTAATTAATTAATTAATTAATTAATTATTAATTACTAAATACTATGTAGTTTAATTTATTTTAAGTTGATGGACAAATTATAAAATTTCTTAATTAATTTAATAAATATAATAATATAATATAAAATAATTACTTTAATTCTATAACGTCTGATAGTTTTTTTGGCATTATTTTCTATTACTAAAAATTAGCTATTTTTATTGATTGCTAAAACAAAAAATCAACCAAAATTTTACTAAACAGTTAATTTTAATTAATAAACTTCATTGTACTTTTTACATTATAATTTTGATTATAATTATAAATTATAATCAATATAATGATGATAATGGTTAATATGGATAAGAATTACATTATAATATTAAGTATCATAATAATTATAATTGTCATTATAATTATAATTTAGTTAAATAAAAATTATAGTTATAACGAAATATAAGAATAATTATAATTGTACCTAATAGTAAATAACTATTTCACAGATAACATTAATATAATTAATAATAATATTAATTATAATAACAATTATGATCAATAATTGTAATTAAAATACTAAAACAAATTGTTTGCAAACTAAAAGCAGAAATTCCTCATTTTTTTCCAATATTCTTTAAAGCTAGTTACAAAGTACGTCATAAAATCATTTTATAAAAACGAAAATAAATATTTTCCAGTTTAAGAAACCTACTTCTTTGATGATGAAAATTCTATATCTGCGTGTAAACAGTGCAAAGTTAAATATAGTTGTAAATTGTGAGATACAGTCGAAAGGATTGAAAGAAGCTTCCCTTATATAGTAATATCGATATCACATTAAGTAAACTTTTCAAATTTCAATCTTTTCTAACAGAGCGGAGTGGAAAAAGAAATTTATTTGATGCAAATAATCGATTACTTCACTATTAGTTTGTTTGATTTAAATAAAAATTATTTGCCACAAGTAAATATATTTATTACTTAATAATTTTCTTATACTTGGTCCGAAAAAAAATTTTTTCTTTCCTCAATTATAATTTTTAAAATTTTAATTTAGCATTATTTTAATGTTAATTTTCAATGAATTTGCATTTTAAAAACCAACTCCAAAATAGTAGGGAATATTTTTTTCACATTCCTGGAATATTCTACGGAAACATTGGCAATATTTTTTAGGAATTCTATGTATCCACATTTTTGGAATATTCTGCCAAAATTTTAAGAATATTCTGAAGGAATATTCTATCCACATTTTAAAAATATTTCGAAGGAATATTCTATCAACATTTTAAGAATATTCCAAAAGAATATTTCATCCATATTCTAAAAATATTCCAAACGAATATTTCATTAATATTTTAAGAAAATTCCAAAGGAATATTCTATCCACATTTTGGGTATACAAAAAAAGGAATATTCTACCGACATTTTAGGAATATTCCTAAAATATTTTACGGGAATATTAGAAAGAAATATTCCTATAATATTTTATGGAAATTTTCCAATGGAATATTTAATCAACATTTAAAGAAAATTCCAAAGAAATATTTTATCTACATTTAGGAGCATTAAAATTTCAAACTTTTGGAATATTTCTTTGGAATAAAGGAGAAATATTCCATTAGATTTTTTTAATTCGAACATAGGAGCAAAATTAAATTAGAATATAGTTAGAAATATTTTGTTGGAATATTATATGAATGTTCCAATAAAATATTAGGTACTTTTTAAATTTACAACTATTTCAATTTTAAATAATAATTGATAATTTATTTAAATGGAGTGAAAGTTTATTAGTATATCATCAATAAAATTAATTATATAATATTTTTATAAAATTCTAATGGAATATGTCCACAATTTTTTGATGAAATATTCCAACATAATTCCAGAGGAACATTCCAAAAGTCGAACATTTTAATATTTATAAAATATGGACGTAGTTTTTTTTAAATATTCCTATGAAAAATTTTTTGGGAATATTCAAGAAATGTGAATAAAGCATTTTTTTTTTTAATATTCTCAATGTTCCAATGAAATATCCAAGGAATATGAATGCAGTAATTCTTTGGAATATTTCCAAAATGTAAGTGAAATATTTCTTTGGAATATTCTTAAAATGTGCGTGGAATATTTCTTTGGAATATTCCAGGAATGTGAATTGAGTAATTCTTTGGAGTATTTTTAAAATGTGGATGAAATATTTAATTTAATATTTAATTTGTAATTAAATGAGAAAAAAATTTATTAAAATAAAACTAATATAAAAATTCTGTTATTAACTGTATATGATAATTATTTTAAATAAAAAATAATCATTTTACAATGTCTTCGTATCAAAATATAAAAAAGCAATATATTTTCATTGCGTTCCTTTTCTTTTTTTTTAAACTTAAGTAAAAAAAAAAAGAATTGATGATTGTAATTCTCTCCTGATTTTTTCTCCCGAGCAGCACAAGATTTATAAACGAGCAGCTTATAAAGAACTTGCCTACTCTATACTTATGTTGTAAAATTTCATTAAATATGAATTCAAAACAAGTTACGAGTACGCAAGTGTATACGAGTTTGAAAAATTTCTGTATAAAGAAACAAGAAGAAAATTTTTTTCTTCACATTCCGTTTACATAAAAAAAAACACAGATTTTACACTCATCTCCAGGAAAAATAATTATTTGAATTCACATACTTTTTATCATCGCAATTTTTTTTTCACCAAAAATGCAAGTAAATTTATTTGTAAAATCGAGTGAAGAATAAAAAAAATAAAAATAAATTGTGTAAAAAAATATTTTTCAAATGAAAGTTCATCGCGCTCATCATTAAAATAACATATATATATATAATCTTTTCCCTAGTAAGAATTTATATTCAAACGAAAATCAAAAATTTATTCTCTTTCTCTCTCACACTTTTTTTTTTACAGAAACCAATGCAGAAAAGAGCAGCACTTTTGCTCGACAGACTGATGATTGCATTGCAAAAAGCTATTGAAAATGAAGATTCAGTGGGTGGAGGATCGAGTGGAAAATACTACGTGAAGTCTGGAAATCAACTAAGGGAAAGTACCAGGCAAAATATTCCCTTGACAGATGAAAAAACGGTATGAATCAAAAAGTTAAATAAAAAAAAAGTTCTTTTCACAAATCCTCAAAAAATTCAATGTGTGTTAAAAGTTCAGAAAACTGCAAAGTTTTCGACATTTACTGATGAAACGTTAAATTTTCATCTACATTTTTTTATTGTATTATATAATTTTTTTATTATTATTATTACTCTATTATTTTCTTTTTTATTTCTTTCATTTTTTCAATTTTAATGTAATTTATTATTTTTTTCTACTATTTTTTATTTACTTTATTTATTTATTATTATATTTATCTTCAAATAACTAAATAAGTATTTAATTATATTTAATTAAAAATAATTATTAAATATTTGCATTTATCACTCGGTCGTCTTAGTTGAAATTAATTACGAAGTTGAAGTCCACAACGTTGATCAATGAAAAAAATTTGTTTCATCTATTCGAATATTATTTTTAATTTAATATTTAATTGTATAATAATTATTATCAGAACATAAACATCAATCTATTTTTTCTAAATTTTTAATCTAATTAATTTTAAAAATAATTAATATTAATTATTATTGTTTAATCAGTTGTTTTTTTATTACAATAATGTATTTCTCTCAAATTTTTCTTGACCAAATGTTATAATAATTTATTGAACAAAAAAATAAAACTAATAGATAACTATTAAATAATAATAATAATAATAATAATAATAATAATAATAATAATAATAATAATAAAAATAAGAGAAAATGAAAGAATATCAGTTTACAAACTGTAGATATATTTTCAATTATAAAAGGGCTTCTTAGCCTGTGTATTTTATTAAATAACTGAAAAAATATAAAAATTAATATCATTTGAAATGGAAATTGTACATTTTCTTTATGTAATTGACTAATTAATTAATTATTCTCTCGTATAACTTTAAATCAATGAATTTTTTTACTTAAAGCGATTCTTCATTAAAATCCGTTTTTAATTAAAAATTTTCATCACTAATTATTGAAAAAATATTATTTAAACAATTTTCAGATATTAAATCGGTCTTTCGATTACATTTACATATTTTTTACTGTATTAATATTATGAGTGTAATCTAAAAAATATATCTTTCAAAAATTCTATAATTTAAAAGAGAAATTGAAAAATATTTTCAAAATTTAATTTATAGAAAATGTCTTTGAATATCGAATTATTAAAAAACCAAATATCAAAGAAGAATTTAATGTTAAAAAACATTTTTTTACTGCTGGCCTAATTTCTTTTTTATAATTTGACCTGAATCCTAATTTAATTATTATTGCGAATACTGATTAATTTTCAATTTATAGTAGCAATGCACCTACGTTAAATGTGAGCCCTTATAATTAACGGGAACCTTCAAATTAACTATATCATGTAAATAATATTAAAATTTTTTTTTCCAAAAAGTAATAATTTCGATTATTATAATCTGATTCAAATAAATTTTTTTTAACAATTGTACGATTAAACGAACTTACCTAAGTGAAGTTCAATCGAAATTATGCTATCGTCTCGTCCGAATAGATCACATGTAGTAACGCTAGTTGCCCGATTCCAATCCACAGAATTTTTAAAGCTCGCGCCATTCCAGGTACCTTTATTTCTCACCAGGGGGCTCTTATACTTCCGTCTTGTCATTACGCTTGTGTGATTTTGAATTCAAATTGCTGATGGGTATAATGAAGGACTTCCGTTTTGTTAATTGAGCGGGAGACACGTTTTTTTCTGTCTGTCTCTTTTTAAACCAATATTTTGTGTTGTTTATTGAAATTTGTTACGAAATATAAGAAACTTGAAGTTTTATTAATTAGTGTAATTAGTGAGGAAATTAATTCCTTAACAGTCTAACATTTGTAAACTTTTTTCCATTATTCGTGCATACATAACCTCACATTGCCACGTGCTGAAGCTGGGTGAAAAGGAAAAGAAAATTCTATTCATGATTGGAATCCTTCTACAAACAACAATCTAATAAGAAGGAAATATTTCTAATCATAGGGATCACCTGGAACAGCGATTGGAAATTCAACAAAAGTTCGGCTCGGAGTCTTGTAGACTTTTTTCCATTATTCGTGCATACATAACCTCATATTGCCACGTGCTGAACTCGAGTGAAAAGAAAATTCTATACATTACTGGAATTCCACTACAATCAACAATTTAATAAGTAGGAAATATTTCTAATCAAAAGGACCATTTGGAACAACGAATGGAAATTCAAAAAAAGAAATTTTGTTTATTTTTTTAAATACAAGCTTTCGCGCCTCCATTTTCCCCAACGGAAATAAAAGAGGGAGGGATAGCTGCCTCACCATCCAATCAACGCAGAACCCCATCTATTACACTGGAGACAATCCGCAGAGGCTGTTTGGTATTGCCTCCACTATCGCCCAATCGATGAACTAGCATACTTACCGAGACAACACAACTACCAATCGAGACAACACTAAACTGAAATATATAACTAAAACCTACATTTCATTGGATAAAAAACAATTAATTTAACATATATATATATATATATATACTGAACTGGCTATTTGTATATACAAGAGGCCATTTAAACAAAAAGAAAGAAAGAAAAGATGGGTATAATGGGAAGGGTGGGAGTGATCTATTCGGACGAGACGATAGCATAATTTCGATTGAACTTCACTTAGGTAAGTTCGTTTAATCGTACAATTATGCTTCATCGTCTCGTCCTCAAGATCACATGTAGTTGTTTAAAGAAAACAGCGATTTGGATATTTTATATTCGGAATTTATTTTGAATTTTTTAGAATAGATGTAGCAAAGTCACAGGTCGGCTCTTTAAGCGGCCTATTGTAAAATTTGTTGAAAACACTAGAGTTCTTGGACCATCCTGCGGTGGATCTGATAGTGTCTAGGCTGATGCCTTTTCTGTATGCTGCTGAGGTGGCAGCGTGACGTGTGCTGTATCCTGAAAATGTTGTGGTATCAACTCCGCTGCTTTTGAGGGTTGCCTTGATCCATCGGCTAATCGATTGCGCGGTGGCTGGCCGATGTGGTGCATTGAATGTTATTAGTAATGTATCTTTGCCCTTGGCTCTAACATTTTCCGTTTTACTTATATAATTTAAGAGCAAGCTGTCGACACACAAGCTTGGTTGCTCTTGGAAAAATCGAAAGTGTAACAGTGGTTGCTCTGCTCCTATTCTCGATGTTTTGATTCTGTCGGGAATATATATTTTAATTGAGTCTTCGGATATTTTTATATTGCTGAGTTTAATTTTAGTCAGCATTTGAATGCGCTGTGCAGTCGTCAAAGCTAATAATGTGCATAATTTCTCGGATAATTTCTTCAAGGTCAAATCTTTGTTTGGTTCCTGCTTCGTTAAGAATTCCAAGACTGGGCTTGGGTCCCAAATTTCGTTATACTTGGCCTTCAGAGGTTTCAAGATCGAGGCTCCTCTGCAGAATCTTTTGATAAGGGATCGTCCATATATTACGTAACACTTTTTGGGGGGAGGGGGGTCAAGCTATTTGTTACGATAAGCCAAAAAAATGGCGCTAATGTATGTAACAGCGTGTTACATGGGGGGAGGGGGGGGTCAAAATTTTCAAAAATTAGCGTTACGTAATATATGGACGGCCCCTAATAGGATCCGCTCCCAAATCCTGCGATGAAATTAAAGAGAGAGCAGATCGGTAAGTGTTGATGGTCCCATAGGATTTTGACTTCTCCGAGATTGTTGTCAAGAACTGTAGAAGCACCGGGATAGAAGCGTCGAATACGGGGACATTTTCCTTTTGACAGAACTCCCACCATTCTCGCAATGGTTTTTCGTATTGGGTATATGTTGAATCGCTTAGCGATGCGATGATGGTCGTTAGAGAAGATTCCGGTGTGCCTCTTTTCAAAAACGCTTGCCGGACAACCTCCCTGCCGCCAGGGTAAGCTTCCCTGCCAGAAGGTGTGTCATGCTAGAAGGAGATGATAAAAGGTTAACATGTGTTTCGAAAATTACAATTTCGTCTTTAGTCAAAGATTTAAATAGAGGAAACCAAGACTGAGTAGGCCAGTGTGGAACGACAATGATCCCTTCGGCTTTATCTGATATTATTTTTTGTAAAACTCGGAGGACAAGAGAAAAAGGAGGAAATGCGTAGAACCTGTAAGGGGACCAATCGATCGTGAAGGCGTCGATTGCGAATGAATCTGGATCCTGTTTCCAGGAAACAAATTTTTTACACTTCGCATTTGCGCACGATGCAAATAGGTCTATGTCAAATGGGCCGAGTTTGTCGCGTATTTTGTTAATTGCCCAATCTGCGAGTTCCCATTCCGTTTCGCTGGGTAATTTACGGGACTCGCGATCAGCATCCACGTTTTCTCTGGATGGAATGTATGATGCGAAGATGTATAAGTCGCGTACTTCGCACCACATCCAGATTTCTTTACATAGTTTGCTCAATTTGGGAAATTGGATACTGCCCATTTTGTTTATGTAGGCTATGGCGGTGGTATTGTCGATTCTCAGCAAAATATTTGTTGAGCGTAAGTTTTTTGCAAAGCATTTGAGTCCATTAAATGCTGCCAAAAGCTCTAAATAATTTATATGGTGTACTATTTGATCCTTATTCCACCAGCCATTTAATTTGTTCCCGTTGCTAACTACGCCCCAGCCTGATAAGGATGCGTCCGGAAAAATTTCGATTTCGAATTTATTTGATTGAATGGGATTATAAGCAAGTGGTATGTTATTAATCCACCAATGAATGTCGGGAAGGACTGAATTGTGTAAAGACATGTATTTTTCGAAATTACCGCCATGTTCGTTTAGGGCTAAGAATTTTTGTCTCTCTAAGTTTCTTATGTAAAGCAGGCCATACTTGACTGCCGGAGATGCAGCGATTAATGTACCTAGAAATTCAGCTAACTTCCTAATTTTAAATTCTTTAGTGTTTAATAGTTCCCGTGCTCTACGTACTATCGATTCTTTTTTATCGTTAGTTAATTCAAGCTTAATTTCTTTTGTATTCCAATTAAATCCTAAATACTTAATTCTTTTTGAAGGTTCGAAGACAGATTTTTCTATATATTGATAATAAAGCCTAATTCTTTTAAGGTATTGCTAGAAAATTGAACATTTTCGAGACACTTTCTCTTAGTTTTTCCAATCAATAGAAAATCATCTAAGTAAATTACCGAAAGATGGGATCGAGATCTGAGGTATTGAGCTACTGGTTTCATGAGTTTAGTAAAAACAAAGGGGGCAGTGCATAACCCAAACGGTACACAGCAAAATTCGTATAATTGCCCCTTAAACTCGAACCTCAGATATTTTCTGTATTGTTTTGCTACTGAAATTAAATGGAAAGCGTCCTTTAAATCTAGGGAAGCTAGGTAAGCATCTTTGAACAAAAGTCTTGCGACAGTTTTCCTGTCTTCGAGTTTGAAGTGGGGAGGTTGAATAAATTTATTGAGAGGTTTTAAATTTAAAATGAATCTTTTCTTGCCGTTAGATTTTTCTGCCAGAAAATAGCGAGATATGAATTGATCTTTGATGGGTGCACATTTATAAATTGCTTCCTTTTTTATTAATTTCTCAATTGCGATCTCGCAATCACTTGGCGATAAAGAGTCTTAATCTGCCTGGTACTTTACTTACCTCTATTGTTTTCGTGGTTTCGAGTAAGGCTGGTTCCTCGAGAATTTGTCCTTCTGCCCTCCTGGTCGAAACGTTTTGAAATTCTTCCTGGGAGGGCCCCTGTAGTTTAAATTACGGGGGTAGTTATCTTTCGGATATGGAGCATGAGAAATGTTGAGAAATGTGCTTGGTGGTTTCCGGATCTTCGGAGTTCTTTTTCAGAAAGTCGGACAGGGTCATAGTCAAGGCGGAGATGCCTGCACCTAGCTGGTTCTGTGAAGCAACCTGATAGCTGTCTTTTTTCAGTCCGGTCGGACCCATCGCCATTTTTATTTCGCTGTTGATATTAGGTGATTGTAACAATTTACAATTTAGTGGTGGTGGGTATTTTTCCGCCAATTCTTTTTTCGTTTCTTTAGTGAGACCATCCATTAGTATTTTAATCATAACTTCTGACAGCGTATTGTTAATTTCGGGATTAAATTTTGAATTTTTCTCGACAGTGCCGAGTAAATTAAGAGTTTCTGGATTTAAACTCTTATCGTCGTTAGTGAGATCATTTTTTTGGACCTCTTTTTTGGGAGTACTTGAAGTTGATGTCGACGAGGAGGAAGACGAAGATGACGATGAGGATGATGAGCTAGAACGTCTACGGCGTTTTGATTTTTGATGATTTTTATCTCGATTATGAATGGATTTTTCGCTCGAGACAGAACGGGTTTTTCTTTTGTGTTTCTGGTCTTATCTCTTGAAACAGATCGAGACCTTTTACTGACGATATGACGATCGCTTGACGTATCTCGCAGATTACGCTTGCCGCGATTTTTATGTGTCTCTGTCGAGACAGATCGAGACTTATTATTGTGGTCGTGGTGGCCTTGGGACGCGCCTCGCGGGCTACGCTCGCCTTGCTTAGTTGTCTTATTCTTTGAGACAGATCGAGAATTTTCACGATTATGGTTTCGCTCACGTGACGCACCTCGCGGGATACGCTCGCCGTGGTGTTTTGAGTTGTCTTTGGAGACAGATCGAGAACAATGACGTTTATAGTATTTGCCACGTGACGCACCTCTACGGTTACGCTCACCGTGGTATCTGGTACTCTCCATGGAGACAGATCGAGAATTTTTACGTCTATAATATCGGTCACGTGACGCACCTCGAGGGTTACGCTCACCGTGGTATCTTGTACTCTCTATGGAGACAGATCGAGAATTGTTATGTCTATAATATCGGTCACGTGACGCACCTCGAAGGTTACGCTCGTCGTGATAATTATAATATCTTGATTTATGGTAAGAAGGTGTTTTGTCCCTGTAATGAAAGGGAGATCGAGAAGTCGGGGAATGTGACGCGACGCGTACATTTTCGACATCTTTTTCTCTTGACTGTCCCTTAACCTTATCTTGTAGTCGTTTCAATTCTTCGTACAAGAAATCTATGTGCCTTTCGGCAGATCCTTTTCGAGATTCCTTCGAAGGTGTATTGCTTTTTCCCTCGCGCCCCATTTTAAAATAAATATAATTGAACTGGGAAGGAAAACTATGGAAATTTTATGTGGAAATAATATTTTCGCGTGTGAACGGAATCGCACAGAAAAGCGTAATGACAAGACGGAAGTATAAGAGCCCCCTGGTGAGAAATAAAGGTACCTGGAATGGCGCGAGCTTTAAAAATTCTGTGGATTGGAATCGGGCAACTAGCGTTACTACATGTGATCTTGAGGACGAGACGATGAAGCATAATTGAATTTCTTTTCCATCATTTAAAAGAAAAAAAATTAATTTCTATGTATGAAAAATTAATAATAATAATAATTTGTTGTCTCGTCCCGTCTATAAGTTAAATAAATAATATTCATTATTATAATACATAATTAAAAAAAAGAAAATAAAAGAAAATAAAAAATGAATATAAAAAAATTTTATAACTTATAGATTTTTTTCTCTTTCAATAAAAATAAGTCAATTTTAAAGAAAAAAAATATAAATGTAAATAATAATAAATATGAATTATTTTCAGATGGATCTTCAACGCAGAGGACAAGCAAAAGGTCGAGTTTATTGGCGTTGTTACTTTAATGCAGTGACATGTTTCAGACGGAAGTGATTTTATTTTCCGATCAAGACTTTATCTATACTCTAGATTCCAAAATAAATATCAGAAAAAAAAGTTTCACCGCAAAAATGTCAGTGTGTTACAAAAACAAAAAAAAATTCATTTCCTCTGTTACTTAATATCAGAAATTTACCGTAAAAAAATTCTCATTAAAAAAATTATCATTAAAAGAAACAGATCTCACATAGATTTTTAATTTTGTGAAACTTCATTTAAAAAAAAAATTATCCACGTTTCACAAAACGTGCTTGTCAAAAAAATTAAGACAAAAAATTGGGAATTAATTTCTTTTGTAAAAAAAAATTGGAAATTATATTTTCTTTGTAAAAAAAATCCGACTGAACTGATGAGTTTTCAATAACTCCATCGTATAAATTAAATTGTAATTAAAGAAAAATTTAATCTATAATTAAATAAATATCTTTTCACTTATAGTATATTATAACTGAAAGATTTACTCTGTTAATAACACATATGTGCATATAATTAACGTTATACTTTTTAAGTAAGTAATAAAATTTATTTTTACAATTGAAATTATTTTAGAATAATGAAAAAAATACGCATTGATATGTAGTTATGAATTTTATAAACAATCATAAGTTAATGATTTTTTATAATTATTTTCATTATAAAATGAATTGTTAATGAACAAGTTAAAATTAACCGGAAAGTTCATTAATATACGCGTATCAATGGTGCCAAAAGACAAAAAAAAAAATTTTAAATAAAAACAAACAAAAAAAAAAATTTTGCAAATAATTTCAATTGCCAACAGGAGAAAGTATTATATTAAACCAAAGTATATGTAATTACACTTTGAGAATAATATTTCCTGTTACAATCAATTAAAAGTGTTAAATTTTTAATATATAAGATAATAATGTTCACATGAATTTACACAATTTTAGAATTTTGTTAAAAGAAATTATTGCTTCTTGTACCGCAAACAGTATTTTCTTATCCTGTGTACCTGATTTTTCTGTATAAATAAATCTACACTTCGAATAAATTACTTATTCTCTCCTCTATAAATATTATATTCTTCAATTATATATACATTTTAAAATCTAATTAAATTTATTTCAATCATTTTAGTTTTGTTTTCATTTTTTTACTCGTTATGTAGAAAATGTAAATTTAATATAAATTATAAAATCTGTTTCCAAAATTACAAGTTCGTTTTCAGAAATTGCACAAAATTAGACGAATGAACTTCAGGTAATGATTTAAATTATCAATATTTTATTAATATTAATAATGTAAGAAAATAAATTATCAATTAAAAAATTATAATTTGTGAAAAATTAATAAATTTGTTTATTTTTATTTTACATCAGGGATGCCACAAAAATTTAATTTTGTTTTTCCCTGATTTCCAGACAAAATTTTGACTTTTTCCCTAATCCTAAAGAATCTTCTAATTCACTCTAAAAATTATTAAGATACTCAAAAAAATTTTCTATTAGATTTATTTACAAATTTCTTTAATTGTAAAATTATTTAAAAACATCAATATAACTTCATTTTCAAATCAATATTTTTAATTGATTTGTATGTTTAATTTTCAATTAAACATACATCAGAAAATAAAAACATGAAATTATAATTTTAAAAAATTTTGATTAAGCTTTTTGAAAAAAATTAGTTCCATACAATTTTTAATTGAAAGTATGAAAAATTCAAATTTTCAAAGATTTTAATTCGAAACCTTTACAAAATTTAATTATTTAAATACAAGAATAAATAATTTATTAAATAATTCAATGCTTCTTAAAATTGAATTCTCAAAAAGAATTTGATTAACAAATCTTTAAATAATTGAATTCTTTCGGCAAATTTTAATAACATTTTTAAGAATAATTACATTTTTCGAGGAATTCGATTAAAATTGTATTAAAAATAATTGAAATTCTGCAATGAGTTTTATTATTTATAAAAATAATTGAATTATTGCGAGGAATTTTATAAAAAAATGTTTCAAACAATTGATTTTTTTCGAAAAAATTTATGCAAATTCTATTTTTAATAATTGAATTTCTGTGAAATTTTTATTATTTTAGAAAATAATTGAATATTCGTGTAGAATTTAGTCAAAAATAATTGAATAAATAAATAATTGAATTCTTTTGGGAAATTTTATTAAAATAATGATATACAAATTATTGAATAAAGAAAATTTTTTGAAAATAATTGAAATTTTGACATGAATTTTATTAAAATTTTTAAAAATAATTATTGAATTTTATTACTTATGAAAATAATTGAATTCTTGTGATGAATACTATTATTTATGAAAATAATTGAATTTTACAATGAATTTTATTCAAATTCCTGAAAATAATTCAATTTTGTCGAAGAAATTTTGCTATTCATTTATAAAGATAATTGAAATGTTGACGACAAATTTTTTTATATTTTTCCTAAATAATTGAATTTCACTGCGAAGAATTTTATTAAATTTGAAAATAATTGAATTCTTGTGATGAATATTGTTATTTATGAGAATGATTGAATTTTGCAATGAATTTTATTAATATTCCTGAATATAATTGAATTTCGGCGAAGAATTTGGCTATTTATAAAAATAATTGAAATTTTGAGAATTTTTTTAAAAAAATTTTGAAAATAATTAATTTTCTCGAAAGAATTTTGATATTTATTAGGTAAGATAGTATCAAATCAAAGAATTGCGTTAAAATTTTTAAAATTGAAACTAATTTCAACAGAATTGAAATTAAAATTTTTCAAAAAAATACTTCATTATAAATGATTTATAGGTAAGTAATAATTTAATAATAGTTCTTGAAAAATGAAGTTATTTAGAAATAAATTATTGTGACAAATAGAAAAATTGCAAGGTTTTGAATTATAATTCGTGGTAATTTCATAGAAATATAGAAATTTTACGAGACAAACAAAAAAGGACACAAAAATTCAGAATTTTCTTATAAATTCTAATTTTTTCCAGTACTTTTAATAAAAATCCTTTGTCTTTTCCCTGATTTCCCTGACCTGTGGCAATCCTGAATAATGTAAAAAAATTAATTATCATTTAAAAAATTATAATTTGTGAAAAATTAATAAATTCGTTTATTTTTATTTCAGCTTAATATAAAATAATGCATTTGTAATTTTTCAACCTTGATATATTCATAAGTTCTGCAATGTATTATTTAAATCAATATTATTTAGACATTGCCGAGAGGAGAATATTCGATTCTGATGAGAAGCTAAGACAATTAAATTATTGTTCCAAGTTATTCTATTGTTAGTTGCAATGTTACATGATAAGATGAACGTTTGAATGACTGGAAAACTTAGAAATGGTATGTCAGAACTATTGATTGCATATATATATTCAATATCAGTGGAAGAAAATAAAAAACAAATTGCTTATGTTGTAAGCTCTCTAAGGCAAACAGACAGATTTATTTTAACTGATCGGGTCAGTATAATAATGTCTATATCAAGAGAGAAAATTTAATTTTTTTTTTTAGAAAAATATTTACCTTCTGTCGCGGAATTTAAATTTAATTTATTTAATATAAAAACAATCGAATTTCAATTTAATTTCAATTATTTATTTAATTACTATCAGTAGAATTTAATAAGTACTTCATTGTATTGAAATATAAAACAATTCATTGCTTGAACGATCAAAAATTTATTACTTTATTTTATCTTTATAATTATCTAATTTATAAATTATGAGTAGTTTATCGGGCGAAATTTAATTACCAACCATATAATTAACTTATTACTCATGAAATTATTTTACGTCTGGTATTTATTTTTTTTTTATCACTGAGAAAATATAGGTTTAATAATAAAAAAGTATTTATTTAATTTTTGTACCTGGAAAATATTCTTTTTTTTCTTACGTCAAAAACAGTCAAAAATACTGCGACTGGCGAAATCATTGTAAACAAATAATTATAATTAAAGCTTTCTCATACTTTCTTTGAATTCAGTAAATTATACATTAAAGTACATTTATTACTAAATTAAATAAATTATAATTGAGCGGAAAGAAGGGAAAAATCACTTTGCAAAAACGTTGCATTAAAACGATTACAATGATTACAATCATTACAATCATTAAAATCAATAGAATAAAAATTTTTAGGTTATGTTCGCTTATAGCGCAATTTTCCTTTTCAACTTTTTACCATTCATAAATAATTTTCTTAATATTGATTAAATTTTACCTTTGTTTAGCAGCTTTTTAGTCTAATTGTCCACATGAAATTGACACTCACACTTTAATTACTCACAAATAGTAAACAATTTAATAGAATAATTTTGCAAATATCCGGTGAATTCAAATCAAAACATTAATAACGAAAATAACTGAAAGAGTGAAAGTTTCACGGAAGTTTCTTCAACATAGAAAGTTACCCGTAACTTAAGAAATTTTGTAAATTTCTCCCGTTTCGTATTTGAAATAGTTGAAAAGGCGAATTTCGATGATTTATATTTTTTATATTAAAAAAACCGTTTTAGCATAAAATACCTTGCTGCACGATACTAATAACAATATTTAAAGAAAAACGTACTGATTTATTGGACTCTATAGTAATTGTAAAGAAAATTATATTTCAAATAGCTTTTTACGCGAGTCGCAACTCGTAATGGTAAAGTTAGGTTATGTTTCTTTATGAAATTTCTCGCTACAAATTACGGAAAATTAATCACGATTTACAAACAATTGAAACAATTGAAATGAACAGCTAAACTAGTTTTAACGTTTAAATATGTTTGTTTTCAAGTACGATTAATAATTTTATCTCAAATTCTACATTTTAACTGGACGCAACGACAATCTACAAATTTCTCCGCGAAAACTTTCAAAGGTGTGAATGGGTGTGAAGTTGTCCGATTATGGAACGAGGTAATTACTATCGAATGATCGATTGTGGACTTCGATTAGTAATGGTATATGACTTCAGGGTATTTCAACACGTGTTCTCCTTCTGCTATTGTTTACAAAATAGTTTATTGTTATTTTTTTAAAAAATAATGTGCAACAATGTCTCGTTTAATTGTAAAGAATTTACCGAAATCTGTAAGTAACGTTTAAAATATAAATTGCTGCCAATTATCGCAAATATATTTGACTTAACCTACAAATTTAAAACTACTCGAACAGGTGACGGAAGATAAATTAAAAGAACATTTTACTAAAAAGGGTAATATTACTGATGTTCAACTTAAATATACAAAGGAGGGAGTGTTTCGTAGATTTTGTTTTATTGGTTACAAAACCGAAGAAGAGGCTCAAAATGCTGTTGACTATTTTAATCAAACTTACATTGACACGTCGAAAATTTCTGTTGAATTATGTGCCAAGCTGGGTAAGAAATTGTTTATATTATTATTTTTATTGTTACTATTATTTTTTCTATTATTATTAATATTACTATTATTATTTTTATTGCTACTATTATTTTTTTTATTGTTACTATTATTATTTTTATTATTACTATTATTATTTTTATTAATCTTATTGTTACCATTCTTTTTGTTCAAAAAGTTGACGAAATATTTCTTCGAACTCATTTAGTTTATAATTATATTCTCAAAATTTACTCTTTAATTAGTAATATTAATTATTCACCTTATTATTTATCTTATTAATCAATTTTAGGCGATTCTTTGAAACCTAAATCTTGGAGTAAATATGCAATAGACAGTTCGGCGCATGAGAAAATTACAGGTAAAACTATTAAAACAGAAGAAGAATCTCCGGTTAAAAAGGAAAAAGAAAAGAAGAAGAAGGAAATAAATAGGGAAATTAAGGAGATAATTGAAAAGGTAATAATTAAGCAATGCAGTCAATTAAGGAATAATATATTTTGTTAATATTATTAATAAAATAATTATTTTTCAGCACAAGGACGATCCTTTATTCAACGAATTTTTAGAGAGTCATGCCGGTAAAACAGCTCAACAAGTTTGGAGTAATGAGGCACAAAAATTGATCAAGGAAGAATGCGAGGATGACGAAAGTGACAGTGAAACTGAAAAAGTTGATACAAAACAAATTGAAGACAAAGAAACGGAGAAAAAACTTGATTTTGAGGTTGAAAATTATGAAAACTATAAAGAATTAATATTTCTTGTTTGTTTGATATAATTTAATATAATTTAATATTTTTCAAGTATTATGTAGTAAATTATTATTCATTATAATTATATTTATTAACACGATATTTATTATCTAATTATAAATATTTTACATATTTAATTGTTATTGAACTTCTTTTGCAGGTTTTCGGAGCATTGAAAAAGGAGAAGGAACCAAAGAAACAAGTAGTTAAATTTTTCACGGTTAAAATACGCGGTCTGGGTTTTAATCACAAAAAGAAGGATTTAAAACAATTCTTCAAACCCTTGAAACCAAAATCGATACGTGTGCCTCAAAAAATTAAAGGCATTGCTTACGTTGGCTTTAAAACTGAAAAGCACATGAAACAAGCTCTGAGCAAGCACAAAAGCTTTTTAGGTGAGGAGTTTCAAATCAAGTGATTTTATTTACTGTAAAATATTTTAATTCTTGTTAAATTGTCTTTATCTATACAAGTTACTAAATTCTTTAATCAACAGATGGAAAACAAATATTCGTAGCTAAATACGAACAAAATGACAATCAAACGGATAATGAAGATAAAAGTAAGGATATCAAATGGAAAAAACAGGCTGAAGCTCTTGCTGATGAAGAGACAATTGCTGAATCAGGAAGGATGTTTCTCAGAAATTTGGCTTATACAACAACTGAAGATGATGTCACGAAACTTTTTGAGAAATACGGTAATTTTCTGTTAAGTTGCAAATTTCGTTATTCTATTTTTTTAAACTATAATTTTATTAATTATTATTATAATTAATTCTTGTTTTTGTATATTATTTAGTTTTTGTTTTTGTATATCATTTAGTTTTTGTTTATTTAGTTATTATTATTTATTTTTGTTTAGTTTAATTATCTTAAGATTCGTCATTGGGAACAAATTTCTATAATTTATTTATACGATTCTTTATTCTTAATTTGCTTTTTAGGACCATTGACCGAAGTAAATTTACCAGTGGACAGAATAACTAGAAAACCCAAAGGCTTTGGAACTGTAACTTTTATGATGCCAGAACACGCAGTGAAAGCCTATACAGAATTAGATGGTTCAATATTAAATGGTAGAATGTTACACATTCTGCCTGGAAAATCGAAAATTACAGCCGAAGACTTGCTTCAAAATGGTAGGTTTTCGAAAATTTAATAATTAGAAAACAAAAAAGAACCACTCATTATTTATTAAATAGAAAAAAGATGTAAATTATTCACAATTCAAAAAAATCAAGAATTAAACCTGTAGGTTTTTAATTAGAAAACAAAAAAAACTCGTTACAAAATTGAACAAAATATTAAATATTAAGAAAAAAAATTGTTAATTTACTAACTTGTCTACTTGGAAATTTTATTAACTAGAAAATCTAAGCTACAAGGACAAGAAAGCTTTGAAAGAAAAGGCCACCGCTGGTTCATCCCATAATTGGAATACTCTCTTCTTGGGAACTGATGCCGTTGCTGAAGCAATGGCTGCAACTTACAACACAACAAAAGAAAAAGTATTTAATTTTTTCAAAACATCGTAAGAGATTTAATTTAATACTAATTAATTATTATTCAATTCAGTATCAATTTATCATTATAGTTATCAATTTCTTTCTTAATTTGCATGTTCTATATTATGATTGTCAGTTGACAATTTATTCATTTTTTAATTATTTACTTGAATAATTCATTAATTTTTTTTATTATTTATCCATTATTTATTTTTAGTCATTAATTTATTTATTTGTATCAATTATTTTTATTATTTTGTATTATTTAATTTTAATTTACTAATATAATGAAGAAGTTATATTATTACTTTCGTTTATTAAAATATGTAAATAATTACTTTTTTTATTTTAATAAACAGATTCTTGAAGATGAATCAAAGGGAATAAGTACAGCAGTTCGTCTCGCTTTGGGAGAAACTCAAATAGTGGAGATGACAAAAAAATTTTTAGAAGAGAACGGCGTTTGTATAGATGCATTTAATCAGCCACCAACAAAAAGATCAAAGACTGTGATACTTGTGAAGAATTTACCAGGAAAAACAAGTCAAAATGAGATTTTAGAAATGTTCTCGAAACACGGCGAAGTTGGTCGTGTTATTTTACCACCTGCAGGAATCACTGGTTCGTAAACTGAATATATTTCTTATTTCAATAATAATTAACATATATTTTAATATAAAAACAATTTACTATTTTCTGCCTTTGGTCTCTGCAAATAAAAGAAAAAAATAATTAAATTTGTTTATTTCAGTTATTATTAATCCAAATATAAATTTTATTATTAATAATAAAAGTAATTAATTAAATTTATTTATAATATTTTTTTGCTTTGTAGCGATAGTGGAATTTTTCGAACCATCGGAAGCTCGAATAGCATTTACAAGATTGGCTTACACGAAATTTAAAAGTTTACCGCTTTATTTGGAGTGGGCGCCCGACAATAGTTTTGCCAATGATTTGAAGAAACTTGACTCCTCTTCGAATGCAGCGAAACAAAATAAATCCAAAGAAGATGATAAGAAGCAGGTGCAAAATGAAATTGGAAATGCGAAAGAGGAGAAGAAAAATAATGACGATGATGAAGATGAAGATGACGATGAACCAGAACCTGATACCACATTATTTGTTAAAAATTTGAATTTTTCAACGATTGACGAGGATTTGAAAAACGTAAATTGATAAATTTTTTATAAACATCTAATCTTGAATTCTTTTAAATGCAATTATTCATTTTCGAATGCAATGAATTTTATTTTTCTATTTTTTGTTTTTTATTATAATTAGTTTTCACTTTATTATTATTATTCATTTTGATATTGTTTATTAATTATTACCTCTTTTTGTAGCACTTTAAACGTTGCGGTCCACTTCATTACGCGACGGTCGCCACAAAAAAAGATCCAAAAAATCCTTCTGCAAAATTATCAATGGGCTATGGTTTTGTCAGATATAAATATAAAGTTCATGCTGAACGTGCTTTGAAGGAGTTGCAAATGACGGACTTGGATGGAAAGACAATTGAATTAAAGAGATCCGAAAGAACATTACAGTAAGTTTGCAAAAAATCGAAATAAAATTTTCAATTTCGGTAATTTTTAAAAATTAAAAATTTTTTTTTTAAATATAATCATTAATAAGAAACTGTCACTGATTTAATTATCAATTTTGACCTTAGGAAACAAACAAAAAAGGTCAATTAACTTATATGTATTTAAATAATATTTAAAATTATCAATTTTTGTTCCAATTAGATCCGATCTGCAGGTAACGAAGAAAAATGCAAATATCACTCAGCAAACAGGAACTAAAATTTTAGTGAGAAATATTCCCTTTCAAGCGAATGCTAACGAAGTTACACAGCTATTCAAGTGAGTAATTTTCTTTAGTTAAACATTTTCGTAAATTAAATATTTAAAAATATTTTTTACATTTTAATCTGTTAATTAAATTTCTTATTTTAGATTTATTTCTATTTTAGTATTTTTTTTTCCTAATAAATTATTATCCGAATTCTTTTAAATTCTTTTCTCATATTATATATAAATATTTGAAATATTTCAGAGTATTTGGCGATTTGAAAGCTGTGAGACTGCCAAAAAAATTAGTTGGCGATGAAAAACATCGTGGATTTGCTTTCGTTGAATATTCCACAAAGAAAGATGCTAAAGTAAGCAATTTATTATTTCTAATTATTATTTATTATCAACATTTTATTATTATTATCTACTATTTTATTATTATTAATGTTATTATTACTCTTATATTATTACTATTATCATTATTATATTATTAATTTTCAAGTAATTTTTTAATATGTTAAGTTTAACATGTAATTCTTGTTTTGTTTTTATCAGGCGGCGTTTAAAGCTTTGTGTCAAAGTACACATTTGTACGGACGGCGTTTAGTTCTGGAATGGGCACAAAAAGAAGAAGCTATCGACGATATCAGAAAACGAACAGCTAGAAGTTTCCATGAAGGTTATTTTAAAAATTATTTAATTAAAACTTTATTCTCTACCCGCCAAGTGGACAATTTTTTTCCAGTTTGTTTCTTTATGAGGCTTTGCACTCACCTACTAAAATCAACTATTTAATACTTTTTTTACGTTGTGATACTATTTGGGTACTTTTTTTTAGATTTCAGCCACTAAAAGCTACTATTTCTGTTTTTTTTCCTTTTTGAGAATTTCCACTACTTTAAATCCACTAATACTAGAAATCAAAAAATTATAATCAAATTCTTTAAAACGATTCAATTATTTTCAAAAAATATTCAAAATTCAATTATTTTCAATATCTAGTATTTCCATAAAATTTCGCAAAAGAATTCAATTATTTAAAAAAAATTTAATAATTTAAAAAAAAAATGTTTGATAAAATCCTAAACAAGAATTCAATTATTTTCATAAATAATAAAACACATCGAAGAATTTCAATTATTTTTAATAGATAGATACTATTTTAAATTAATTAATCGAAAAATTCAATTATTTTCACAAATAAAATTTTCCACAAGAATTCAATTATTCAAAAAAAAATTTCATAATATTTATTATATTTAAAAAAAAATGAATTATTTAAAACAATGTTTATCAAATTCTTATGAAGAATTCAATTATTTTAAAAAATAACAAAATTTTTCACAGAAATTCAATTCTTTTTAAGCATTTTAATAACATTTTTCGCAATAATTCAATTATTTTCATAAATAATAAAATTTTTCTCAGGAATTCAATTATGTATTTTTGAAAATTTTAATAATACTCTTAGCATTTATTTAGTTATTTTCATTAATCATAAAATTCATTGCAGGATTTCAATTCTTTTTAATACAATTTTACAGAAATTGCTCGAAAAATGTAATTATTCTTAAAAATTTAATTTCAATTCCTTGAAAAAATCAATTATTTAAAAAAACGTTCTTTTAAAATTCTTTGGAAGAATTCAATTATTTACAAAAATATTAGAATTTTTCACCAGTATTAAATTATTTTCAAATATTTTAATAAAATTGTTGGAAAGAAAACAATTATTTTAAATACAATTTTAATTAAATTTTTTTGAAATAATTCAATTATTCTTTTAGATTTTAATAGAATTCTTCCCAAGAATTCAATTATTTACATAAATAATTCTTCGAAAAAATTCATTTATTTACATAAATAATTCTTCGAAAGAATTCAATTATTTTCATAAATAATAAAATGCTTTTTAGGAATTTAATTATTTTCAAAAAAAAAATTAATAAAATATCACACAAACATTCAATTATTGTCAAAAATTTTAATAGAATTCTTTGTAAAATTTAATTATCTTTTAAATCTTTTCGCAATTCAATGATTTTCAATATCTACTATTTTCATAAAATTTCCAAACAGAATTCAATTATTAAAAAAATTTGTTGTAAAAATTTTCGTAAGAATTCAATTATTTTCATGAATAATATAAATTTCTCAGGTGTTCAATTACTTAAATTAGAATTAAACGATGTTTTTTGGTCGTCAAGTTTAATTTTTCGGTAGCTACTTTTTTACTACTTTTTTAGTTTGAAAACTACTTTTTTAAAATTAATTTGCAAAGTCTTCTTTATTCAATAAGTTGTTAATGTCTATTAATCAATTTTTGTTTATTTATTTTTGTTAATAACTTATTCTACTTTTCGTTTTGATTTATTTCTAATTTATTAGTTTTATTTTTAACATTTTCTTTATTTGTTTATTAATATTTTATTAGTTTATTAACATTTTATAAATTTATTAACATTTTATTAATTTAATAATATTTTATTAATTTATTAACATTTTATTAATTTGCTAATATTTTATTAATTCATCAACATTTTATTAATTTGCTAATATATTATTACTTCATTAATTTTTTCATTTCTGCTTTTTCTTTTATTTGTTACATTTTTAAAGACGTAAAAAAATATTTTCGTAATTCAAATTTTTGTTTTTTTTTCTTACAGAAAAATCGAGTAAGCGCTCAAGAAAAGCTGTAGTAGATGTTGAAGCAATGGGTCTTGAGGAGAAACACGAAGAAGAAGAAGGAGAATAATAATTTTTTCATTTTTACAAGTTAGAAAACTTAGAAGATCAAAAAACAAAAAGAAGGTACTGAAAAGATATTCTCTATCTAATGAATAAAAATAGTATTTATTTAAGTATCTTGTAACAATTTTATGTATAAGAATTTATTGAGATTTCTTTACATTAAGATTCGGCTAACCAGAGGAAAAAAAAATGTCAATATTATTTTTTTTCTTTGTAATCTTGTAAATATTAAAGATTATTTCATATTATCAATGGCAGACATTTACGTAAAAGAGCAATTATTATTATTACTTTTCTTATCATCATTATTATTAATATTTTTATCAATATTATTATTATTATTATTAACCCTTGAGAAGAAATTGGTAACATTCAAAGGTCGGATATAAAGATTATTTTTTTTTTTTATAAAGATACGAAGATTATAGATTGAAATTGGACAAAATCTATTTTAAGACTATTTTTATATCAATTTTTAAAACTTTCCTTTTTGAGTTGTTTGCATTTATTCAAGTATCAAAAAATTGTAGTGGAATAACGGCATTTTAGATTAAATTTGAAAAAACTTGAATTTTTTTTTGAATACGTATTCATAGTTTGATTTTCTAATTATAATTATGTATTTTTTTTTATTTTAAGTCTCAGCCCGTTGTTGGAAGCAACAAAACTGAAATAAAACAACCCAATTTCATAAAAATCACAGTCTCTTATGCAGCGGGTTTTTTTTATACTTTTCTTTTGTCGATAAGGAGCAAAAAGTTCTTTCTTTTGAAAAATGACTATAAGAATAGTATTTCTTCATACAGACATGTTTTTCTTTTCCTTTTCGTGCTTCTGTGAAGCTGATCATCTTTATTTGTTCCGGTAAGGTGATAATTATCCGTACAAAAGATGAATTATGATGATGTTATGAATTTTTGTTTTGATTCGCTGACAATAACTAGAATTTATTATTCACAGAGAGTCACGCAGATTATTTTTTTTTTTTTTGGCTTTTTTTCTTTTGTTTAGAGAGGTTGACAACGAAAAGTGGATAGAAAATAGTCGGCACCTCAATAATCGCGAAGGCAAAATTCATCTGCCTGAAGGAAAACACAGCTTCATTTATTTATTTTTTTTTTTCAAATAAAGCGGCCAAGGATGATAAAGAATTTTTATCACGTGTGAAGATTTTTGCCTTTTCTCCTGAAGCGCTCCTCTAGGTATCCGGGTATCTGAAAATAGTTTTAAAAATTTGATATTACAACTCGTTTTTATGAATTTGTAATTTTGTCTCAAATATTCGAAAAAAAAGAAGATTTAAAAGAATGGAAAAAGCAACGAGTTTCTTTCTGATGGTTTCTATTTTGTTTAATTTAATTTAATTTAATTTTTTAATTTTCTTAAATTGAAATCGTTTAAATTAAACTTTTGGAAAAAATACATTCAATTATCAAATGAATAAAAAGTCAGTGGGAAATATATTCACAGCTAAAAGAAAAGAAGAAATGGAATAAATTAGTATTCGTGATCGAATAGGTAATGATACAGGTAGTGCGACGATTTAATTATTAATAACAAAATTTAACATCAATTTGTTTTATTACTTTTTTTTTATTTATTATTCATATTGTTATTGAAATTTTGATTATTTTTAATATTATTATTATTGTTAGTAACTATTATTTTCAAGATTCTCTTTTTCATTTGAAAATTTAAAACCAGTCCCATTAATTAATAAGTTTCTTAAAAATAAAAAAAAATGCACTTTTAATTTAAAATACACAATAAATGATATGTTATAATATTTCTTGACCTCCACCAATCATAAATATTATTCGTTGCTTTGTTAATTAATTGATAACATAATTTTTCTGTTCTTTTTTGTTTTGGCGATGATTCATCGTTGATTTCGAATAAAATATAAATATATATAGACTATAGAAAAAGTACAGTAGAAAATATAAACAGACGAAATATTTGTCATAAAAAGCTCAGGTACTTGGATTGCATACACAATAAACTGGGTTTTTTTTTTTTTTTTTTTTTTTTTTTTTTTTTTTGTACTATATAGTAAACTTTTTACGGACAGGAAGACATAATTAACGATACCAGACCGCAGAAAAGTAAGCCTCTTTTTTGTACTCAGACATGTAAATAAATTATTATCACGTTTAATTTGATGTGGATTTAAAATTTTTTTTTGGTGCTATAAACATCAAATCGACAATTTGTTTTCTATTTTCTTTTTTTTCTATTATTTTTTCTCCCCATATTTTTTTTTCTCCTTCTCTTTCAACGTTAATGTATATATAATTCTATTATATTATTTACACAGGATGTTAAACACAAAACAATATTAATAATTGAGTAACATCGGAATGAAAATTGATGTGTCCATTTTCTTTTTTTCTTCTCTTGGAAAGATAAATTAATTTTAATTCTATTTCCAAGTTTAATTCAATTTCAGTTTGATTAAAATTTATTTTAAAAAGAGTTCATTCCCCACTGGAAAAAACTTGTAAATAGAGAATTTAAAAGAGAATCTTGTCCCTCAGTGTAAAATAAAAAAATTCTCAATTTTAAATCTACGGTTAAAATATTTTTTGATTAATAATAAAAGAAATAGTAAAAGAGTAATAAAATTGGAATTGTCAGTTCACGTTTCTGATGTCTCTCAATTATTCTTGATACAAGTTTTTGGATAAGTGATAAAATATTGTCTAGCAATTTTCATGCATGATTGGTTTTTTTTTTTGAAATTAAAAAAAAAATAAAAAGAAAGAAAGAAAAGATTAGTGCCATCAGCAAGCTACAAATTTCGATGTTGCACAAGGTGATAAAAAGCATTTCTCTCACATTGTTTGGTGTAAGTTAGCCATATAAATGAAAAGTACATGAAGATTTACGTAACGACAAGTCAATCAATAGCATTCAAAATTGAAGGGAAACAATTTCGATATTTTTTTTTTTGCTTTGCAGGGACTTTTCTCAGGGGGAAAAAAGTGTCGTATTAGGATCTAAGCTTCTACCTTTGGTTTTGCTCGATGTGTGTCGACTGCGTCGATTGGTAGTCGAATATTTTCCACCTTACAACCATAAGCCACTGGGGTTAATTTGATTATTGTGTGCAGGGGTACTTGAAGATATGGTAGTTCATCTAAAAATGAAAACAAAAGTTTATTTCCGAAAAATTGGAAAAAGTATTATAATTTATAATTTAGAAAATACTTCTTAAAAATTAAATAAAAATTAAAAGTACGAAAATTAGGCTTCGTACTGATTAATTAATTTTAAAAAAGTATCAAAATGTAGCTTTAAGACTGCAAAGAAGTAGAAAAAAGTAGCTATCAAAAAATTAAATTTGACGATTAAAGAACATTCTTTTAGTCGATTCAGTGTGTGAAAAAGTAACTTATTTTATTCTGGGTTAACACAAAAATTTGAATATATGTATTTCCCTGATTTCTAGAAAGAATATTAGCTTCTTTCCTTATTCTCGTAATAACTTTAATTCTAAATTTTTGTAAAATTCAATTATTTTTCTAATTTTCAGATAGAATTCTTTAAAAATACATAAATAAATATTTAGATACTTATTTTTATTTAATTATCCACAGAAATTGAAATTTTAAACAATCTCAAAAGTAAAACCTTCTGAAATTTAAATATTTATAAAAACTTCAACTGCATTTATTCCGAAATTCAATTATTTTTTAGAATTTTATTACAATTTTTTGAAAGATTCAATTTTTGTAAAGAATTTTCTCACAAATTTTGAAAACAATTCAATTCTTTCGAGAAATTTAATTGAAATTAAATTAAAAATAATTCAATTTCGACGAAGAATTTTGTTCTTTATGAAAATAATTGAATTTCTGCGAAAAATTTTATGAAAATGTTTAAAAATAATTATTAATAATAATAATAATTATTATTATTATTATTATAGGGTAAGTGTACCAATTGCCGAGGGTGTTCCATTTGTCGATGTTACCATGGTAATAACCAAAAAATATTGTCTAAAATGTCTCATTTGTTTGTTTATATAATATTAATATACTTTTTTTACATTTATAACGCATAAAAAAATTAATATTTATTACTTTTTTTCATTTACAATGTGCTACACTGTTTAAATAAAATTTAAAGTTTGTTTACTCGACAACAGGAACCATCCTCGACAATTGGTACGTTTACCCTATGAAGAATTTTATTAATATTTTTGAAAATAATTAAATTTTTTCTAAGAAATAAAAATTAAATGAACTGTAATTCAATTCTTAAGAAAAATTTCACTATTTATGAAAATAATAGAATTTTTTGCAGAATTTTATTGCAATTTTTAATAATAATTGAATTCTTATGAGAAAATTAGAATTTTATCTAAAAATAATTTAATTCCTAGGAAAAATTTTGTTATTTATGAAAATAATTGGATTTATGCAAAAAAAGTATTAAAATTTTTAAAAATAAATAAATTCTTTCAAGAAATTTTATTAAAATTGTATTGAAAATAATTGAATTCCTACGACGAATTTTAGGGAAATTTAGAAAAATAATTAAATTCTTTCGAGATAATAAAAAATAATTGAATTTTTTCAAAGAGAATTAGAAATAATTGAATTCATGTGAAAATTTTTATTATTTATAAAAATAATTAATAGATTTTTATTAAAATTTTTTAAAATAACTGATTTTTTCTAGGAAATAAAAAATAAACATAATAGTTTAAAATCTGGATCGAGAGAAATTTGAATCGACTAAAATTCTTCTAAATCAGTTTAATTTTGAATGAATAAATATAAATCTAATAACGCATAAAATTATCAAAATTAATTCTAGAATAGAAAATGAGAGAAACTTGAATGAAAATAAATTATTTTTTTTGCAAACTTTGCCATAAATAATTTATTTTCACTTAGTTATTTCAAGGTTGAATTGTTATCTCTAGACTATATTTCGTTTAGTATGTAAAAGCGATAATTATTTGATTTAATTAAAAATATTTTGGCGCAAAATTCTTCATTTTGCCACTGACCTGCATTTTTGTCTAAAAAGTACGCAAGTAGACAACGTAAAACTGCCTGATGACTGACAACCAAAACATTACCCTGTCTCTCCAGTTCCATAATTACCGGCTCTAAACGTGCGACCAAATCCTCGTAACTCTCACCTCGCGGATAACGATAGGAAAATTTATTTTGGTCCCTAGCTGCAAAATCAGTTGGATATTTCTCCTCAATCTCTTCGTAGGTCATTTCCTCGCAGATGCCCTTTTATCGAACAAAAAGCGTTGTATTTTTCACAATATTTTTCCAATAAATAAAATTGCTAATTTTAATTCAAATTATAATATTAAATAGATTATTAACCTGCCTTTGATGTAAAATTCTTTTTGTCTAGACAAAAAAGAACATTTAAAAGGAAAGAAAACATAATTATGCAGCATTAAGGAAATTAATTCTATTCTATAAATAAATAAATCATAAAATTAAAATTAAAATTTAATAGAAAAAAAATGGAGAACTCACGGCATCAATTTCATTGAGGGCCTTCCACCTCTCCTGTGGTGCTTTAACGTCGGCTGCGGTTTGTATGGTGCGTTTCAACCAGCTTGTCCAAACGCGAAGACCCTGAATATCTTGTTTTATGATATATTCGGAAAGTGCCTTTGCGTACAATCGACCCCTATCACTGAGATCAGAATCGCCGCCAATTCGTCCATCCAAATTCATAGCGCTCTCGCCATGCCTGGTGAGATAAATTGTGCGCGGTACAATATGAATATTCATTAAATAATAAACTATCCGGCTTTGTATGTGGCCCTCGTGCTTATGAACAAGAACCTTCTCGCCGGTATTGTAAATTTTCATAAATGACAAATCACTCTCACGATCCTCATCCAATGGCTGATATTTCTCCTGATAATGTTCAATTCTCAACATAAAATCCGCCAACACTGCCTCCTTGTTCATATTCGCGTAATCTGGACTGCTCACCTTGACCTGTTTTTATTAAATTTAAAATCAATAAATATGCATATATATATATGTGTGTGAAAACTGAAAATACTTCTCATGCAGTTTTTTGGTTTCTCTATTATAGCAATTTAGTTAATTAATGTTTACAATTATTTTTACTACTTTTCGTATTTTTATTATTTTTGTTTTTACTACACAGTTGACAAAAATATTTAATTTTCTCTTTCCCTGACATTACAGATTTTCTAATATATTTATTTGCAAATTTTTTTAATTCTAAAATTATTTTATTCAAATAAATATTATCTAATCATTATTATTTTTTCTATATGAATTTTCTAGAAATTTTCACTAAAATACTTCTGTAAATCAAGTATTTTTAATAATTTTTTGAAAAAGTTCCTTGAGAATTATCAAATCTAATATTGTTTACAATTCAATTTTAAGAAATTTCCATTACTGGGAAATTCTTCGATTGAATAAATATTTGAAAAATAAAAACGTCAAATAATTTCAAAAAAAATTAAAGTAAAATTTAAAAAAAAATTAGTTCGACTGAATTGTTGATTAAAATTATTAGAAATTCAGATTTGCAAAGATTTTAATTTAAAACTTTTTAAAAATTCAATTGTTTCGAAAAATTGCAAATATTTATAATTTTTCCAAATTCATTAAATTATTTTCTGGAATTTTTAACTAAAATTCTTCTCTAAATTAATTATTTTTAATAATTAAATAGAATTTTTCTAAATTTTAAATTGAAACCTTTTGAAATTCAATTATTTAAAAAAATTGTAATAAGAATCTCGGTAAGAATTCAATTATCTTTAAAAACAATAAAATCCTTCCCAGGAATTCAATTATTTTCAAAAATAATCAAATTCTTCTAATATAACTTTAATTATTTCGAGAGAATTCAATTATTTTAAAAAATTTTAATTCAATTTTTTTGCAAAAATTCAATTATTTTCATAAATAAAAATATTTCTCCTAGGAATTAAATTGTTTTTAGTTAAAATTTTAATTTTCTCATAAGAATTCAATTATTATTATAAATTTTAATAAATTTCTGCAAAAAAATCCTATAATTTTCATAAATAGTGAAATTTTTCTTAAGAATTGAATTACAGTCAATTTAATTTTTATTTCCTAGAAAAAAATCAGTGATTTTAAAAAATTTTAATAAAAATCTATTAATTATTTTCATAAATAATAAAATTCTTCACAGGAGTTCAATTATTTTTAATTGTTTCGAAAGATTTAAAAAAAAAAATTTTAATTTAAAAAAATTTCTTAATAGAATTCATTTCTTTTGAAATATTTTCACAAATTTCTTTGCAAATATTTAATTATTTTCTGTAAATAATAAAATTCTTCGCGGAAATTTAATTATTTTTAAATATTAGAATGAAATTATTCGAAAGAATACAATTATTTTCAAAAATTTTGATAAAATTCTTTACAAAAATTCAATTGACTTTATTATTAATAAAATTTTTCTCTGAAAATCAATTATTTAAAAAAATTTTAAGTATAATTATATATAAAATAATTTTTAAGTAATAATTTTCGGTAGTTTATCAATGATTTAATTATTTAAAATACATCATTGTCAAAAATAGAAAAAAATTTAAGGTTTTGTATTAAAATTTCTCGTCAATTTCATAGTTTTAAGATAAGCAAAAAAGATACAAAAATTTACAATTTTAATATGAATTTTATATAGAAATTCATTTTTTTCCAGTACTTTTAATAAAATTCCCTGACTTTTTCCCTGATTTCTCTCACCTGTGTGAATCCTGTACTATTTTTATTTTTCTATTTTGTTTACTCTTTTTTTACTATTTCTACTCTTCTATTTTGTTTACTACTTTTATTGTTTTCTCTTTCTATTTTTACTATTTTTATTATATTTTCTACAATTTTTTTTCTATATACTTTTTAAAGTCTTTTTTTTTGTTTTAATTTTTATTACCTCCATAATGTTCTGCTCGACAATTTCCGGATCGTTGCAAACGGACTCAACGAAAAATAGCTTAAAGTTCATTTTGAGAACGACAATTTCACGAAGCATGTCACGTCGATCGACGGTGGAATTTGTCGCGTCAAAAACGGCGACCTCACCGTCTCCTGACTCCAGCCATTTGCATACGTCCTGCAGTGCATCCAAAGCGCACTGGGTCCTAATTGCCATTGCCTTAATATTGTCGGGTCGGAAAAAATCGTGACATTGATAGGCCGTCGTCGCGTGCCTTCTATATTCGCCCAAATTGAAGACTTTCGTACTGATACCAATCCAATTTAAATATCTGCACAGCTTCTTTGAAATGTAAGTCTTCCCTCTTGCTGGCAATCCCACCATTGCTATCACATGTGGCTTATTTACAAAATTGGCTCGTTCGCCTGAAAAACAAGAAAAATACAAACAGAATTTGTGTTCATTAAATATTGTTTAATATAAACAAATCATTGTAAATACAAATTGTTAAAATTGTAAATACAAATTATTAAAATTGTAAATACAAATTGAAAATGTGAAAATTAAAAAAAAGATAATAAAATACTTGAGCACACACACAAAAAGCACACGTAAAGAATAATTTTTGTTTTTACACTCGAAACAAAAGGGACAATTAAAAGAGGAGAAAGTTGCTGTTTTCGAAAAAAAATTTCAAAAATCAATTACAAAACTCTTATAAAATAAGCTTACGCATAAAATTGGAGATTCGAGGTTGTTTCGGGTGAGTTGCCATGTTTTATACAATAGGCACAAAATTTAATGTTTACCTATACGAGATAATTCAACGATAAGTCCAAGTAATATCTTATACTTATCAAAATATTCTTTAAAAAAAAAAATTCTTGTCTCATGAATTATGGGGGAAATGGAATGCTTCTTTTTTTCTCACATTATTTCTCTATTAGACAATAAAAAAAAATCAGTGAAATCATTAGGAAAAAAATTTATTAACGAGGAGAAAAAAATTCCCTACCCAAATGTTAAATTAATTAAAAAAAGGTAAATAATTTAAATAAATAAATTTTTATTCTCGTAAAAATTCTACTTTTTCCAATTTATAATTAATAAATTAAATTAATTTTTATTAAATAAGTACATTTTGTTCAAAATATTAAATTACATAATTTAATTCTCAGAAAAAAATCTAACAACCGAAATTATTGTAATAAAAATTTATAAATATTAAAATGAGTAAAATGAATGAAAATATTTTTCGAAATAATTTCAAAAAAAAATTAAATTAAATTTTTTCAAAAAAATTAATTCTTACAGAATTGTTAGTTAAAAGTATGAAAAATTCAGATTTTTAAAAATTTTAAAATTAATTAAATTAAATAAAAAATAAAGTAAACAAAACAAATATAAAGAAATGATCAAAAAGATAAAATTGAAAAATTAACAAAATTAAATAAAAATTAAATTAAATAAGGAAAAAATAAAATAAATATAAAACTAAATAAGCATAAAATGAAATAAATATATGAAATTAATATTAATATAGAAAATTACAAATTAAAATAAAAAATTTTTTTTAAAACTTATGCAATAATTATGCAGTGGAGAAAATAAATGTAATCTAATCTCTTTATTTATACAAGAAAATAAATATTAAAAAATATTAAAAAATAATTTAATATTAATATTATATTATTAATTATTGATTTTAAGTAAATATAAATTATAAAATAGAAGAATTTATTAAATTTTTAAAATAATTTATTAAATATTTGTGTAACAAAAAAAATATTAAATTAAAAAAAAATTATTTTTCTCGAAAGAATTCAATTATTTTTCTAAATTTGACTAAAATTCGTCGTAGGAATTCAATTATTTTTAATACAATTTTAATAAAATTTCTTGAAAAAATTTAGTTATTTTCAAACATTTTCATACAATTTTTCGTAGAAATAATTAATTATTTTCATAGCGAACAAATTTCTTTGCCAAAATTTAATTATTTTGAATATAATTTTAATTAAATACCTCGAAAGAATTCAATTATTTAAAAAAATTTCAATAAAATTTGTCGGATTAATTCAATATTATTTTCAAAAAATTTCGAAAAAAATGTCTTGAAACAATTCATTTATTTTTAACCATTTTAACAAATTTCTTCGCATAAATTTAATTTGTTTCTAGAAATAATAAAAATTTTCGCGTAAATTCAATAAATTAGTTTTAAAAATAAAATTCTTCGAAAGAATTCAATTAAAAAAAAAAAATATTAAAAAAAAAATAAATAAAAAAATAAAAAAAAAAAATATTAAATTACAAAAAAAAATACCCGGAGAGAAAATAATTTTAGGAAAGTTTCTTATATTAAACAATTTATTTCAAGTTAACTTTTTTTTAAGTTTACTGAAGCAAAACTTTAAAGGTGAAAGTCAAGAACTTTATTGACATATTAAGGCAATTAAAGAAAATTTATTGTTTGTTTTTAAAGCATTTTAGATCGAGAATTTCAAAAGGCAATAATTCATTTGACAAACGAAAGAATCAAAACTGGATCATTGCCAATCTAAAATGAACCAGCTTTGTCTGGACATAATATTCACGTCTTGTAAATTTGATATTGCTTTTTATATCTATCTAATCAATAAATCTGTCATTTGACTAATTAATTTTAATTGCAAAAAAAAAATGAAAAGCTAAAATTGAGAAATTTAATCTCAAAAAATTCTAATTATCATTTTTTGGAAATTTTAATTCTAGAACGAATGTACAAATTAATGAAGAAATGAAAAATAATAATAAAGTAAAAGTAAATTAATATTTATAATATTAATTTATAATATTTTATTATTATTTTTCATTTCTTCATTAATTTGTCCAATCGTTCTAGAATTAAAACTCTTTTAATATTATTTTTTATTATTTATTAATATTATTAATATTATTTATTAACATTATTTATTTATTAAAATTAATTTATTTGTAGATACTTCGTAAATTATTGTATTGAAAAATTTGTAGTCTATAATTATTACGTGCACATTGTCAACAAATAAAAAGACTCTAAAAAGTAAACAAAATTTAAAATGGGAAATAATATGCATTATTATAAGAATTGCAAAACAATTTAGCATCGTTAGCATTACAAGATAAAAGGTAATAAAAAAGATTGGTTATATATGCATTATTTTGCATTCACAGAAATAATGATGCATAACAAATGATATAACAAATGAGCGCACGTGTGCATTTTTTTTTTCTTTATTTATTCGTTACGCTTATTTCATATATATGATAAATTCTGCCTCATTAGTCATTCATTACAAAGTAATTATAAATATTTTTACAAAATTCAAGAAATCACTAAATAATATTCCATATTTTTTAAACATCGAAGTAATTTTTTAATTTAACGAAAATTAATCGAGATAAATTAACATTTCTTTTTAGGGGAGTAACAAATATATTTTTTCTTGTAGGGGAAAAGTGAGGTTATGATTTTTGTAAATTTCGAATTTCAATCTACTGTTTTTCATGAAATGTAATGCGTAATAATAAATAAAGCAATGACGCAGATTAAAATTCAAAAATATGTTGCAAAATTCAATACTCTATACATTAAATTATCCTCTCGCGAGAAATATGATACTTGTATTATTGACTTCGAAGTTAAATAATTTTAATAACTCCTTCGAAGTTTCAATTACTTGCAAAACGTATAATTTTCTATTTTATTAATTTTATTAAATAAACTATTAAATAGTTTCTGTTAGAAATATTGCACCATTCATCAGACACGTGGCATAATTAAGTTTTAAATGTATAATCAAAATTTAAATATTCAACTTCTCGTTCTCGTTTGTTTATAACAGAAACAAAAAATAAACAATTGCTCACCTCTAATTGGAAATGGTTTTGTCTGGATTGTATCCGATGTCGGTGGTGTATACTGCATATCGATTGTTTTACTCGTCATAATGTATATGCTTGGAAGATTTCTCTTTGAATAAAAACAGTAATATATTTTCGGAGTAGGTCAAAAATAGTTTTTTCCACTTGGAATATTCAAATGAAGACTTGGTGATTTTTCTTTTAATTGTTGTCAATTCGCATAAATATTATTGACAGCAGATAGCTCACTGTTGATTTTTTAAAATTTTTTAAAAAATGTACACTTTTTTCTTGTATCACTTATCGAGAGAAAACGAGAAAAAAATAGGAGATTATTTTCTAGTCACAGATTCGTGAATGTCATATTTGAAGACATTTAAAACCATTCGTTTAAAAAACGAATGTTTGCCAGCAGAGACAAAACACGTAATTTGGCAATTTGAAGAAGACAAAAAAAATTGCGACAAGTTCGCACTTGCAACTAAAAGTCAACTAAAGTCCAAAGTTTAATTTAAACCTTGAACGAATATTGTAAATCAAGAACAAGTAGGGGGAAAACGATGAAAGCTTTCCACCCAATTCAGAAGCTTCATCGATGATCACGCGACCCTTTGTGTTTTCAGTCATGTATACACTATTTTCATTTTATTAGCCCACTAATTTTGGAATTTTATTTATCACAGAAATTCTATTTTGATTGACTTGAACTAAATGGCAATTTTCAAAAAATTCTTCCTTCTGTTTATCGAAAAGAAAATTAATTCGATAAACAATTAAAGACCGTTTATTTACATCTGTTTCAATTGTTTTCACTTGACCATTTAAAAATGGCCCCTGGGCGCTGATTGGACTAGGTACGAGTTTGCAATCAGCTGATAAATTGGCGGGTAATTACACATTATTTGAATTCAATCTTTTTTCTCTATAAGTTTTCTATGATAATAAATTCGAAAATAATATAAGAAAATGAATAAATACTCCTAAAAAGTAAAAAAGGTGAAAAATAGATAAAACTAGAACGAAAAGAGATAAATTCTTAAAAACAGAAGTCAGATACGATATCTAAATATATAGAAAAGTCCTCAAAGTGATAGTTACGAAATTTCTTTTAAATATTTTCGATATTTGAATTTAATCTTATCTCTTGATAAAATACGGGTTTTTATAACTCTCTTTATTCTCTCATTTTTAGTCTAAGGAAATTGCTTGATTTATGCGTAAATTCAAGTAACGACAATTTTAAACACTTGTTGCACCGGCGCCCGACTAGAGGGCTAAAAGTCAGGTGGATAAAGTGGATTTAGCATTTTTCCAAGAAACTTCGCAAAAATCAGAAAAGCGATCAAATGATCTAATATTTTAATAAAAGAAGAATTATTTCTGTGTTTATAGATGTAAATAAAAAGAGTGAAAATATGGCTAAACGTTTGAGAGAACTCAGAATTGCGTCAACCGAGAGTAAGTTATTATAAATCTCATTAACATAAAAGCTAACCTCAATTATCGATTTTTCACCTGTTCTAAACTCGTTTCTTTCTCATGAATTTTATGAAAGGGGTATTAATTCTTCAAAAGAATACTTAATACATTAATATCTACTTATAAATTAATTAATATTAACTAATTGAAAATATTTTTGAAAATAATTTTAATATTTGTCTCTAAATTTATATTGTATATTTTGAATAGTTTCACTGTTTCAGTTTACGTAAATTCGTAAGTGAATAAAAATATTATTTTGGTAATTAGATTTAATTTATGACTACAGGGTTGCCTCGGATCAGGGAAATTAGGGAAAAGTCAGGGATTTTTATTAAAAGTATTGGAAAGAATCAATTGTTTAGAATTTATAAGAAAATTCTGAATTTTTGTGTCCTTTTCTTTGCCTGTTAAACTATGAAATTACCACAAATTTTAATACAACGCCTTCAATTTTTTCTATTTCATTTAAAGAAACATTTCAATTATCTTTATAAATAGCAAAATTCTTCGCTGAAATTCAATTATATTCAGAAATTTTTATTAAATTCTCATTGCAAGATTCAAAGAATTTCATAAATAACAATATTCATCACAAGAATTCAATTCTTTTCAAAATTAATAAAATTCTTCGCAGAAATTCAATTATTTTCAGAAAATCTAAAAAAATTTATCGCCAACATTTCAATTATTTCCATGAATTTTAATACAATTCATTACAAAATTCAATTATTTCCATAAATAATAGTATTCATCTCAAGAATTAAATTATTTTCAAAATTAATAAAATTCATGGCAAAATTTCAAACATTTTCCAAAATTATTCTTAATTCAATGATTTTCAATATTCTACTATTTTAATAAAATTTTCCAAAAGAATTCAATTATTAAACAAAAATTTTGATAAAACTCTACACGAACATTTAATTATTTTCAAAAAAAAATTTCACATGAATTCAATTATTTATAGAATATAATTTGCATAAATTTTTTCGAAGAAATCAAATGTTTAAAAATTTGGCATTAATTAATTATTTTCATTAATTTTAAAATTCGTTTCAGGGATTTAATTATTTTCATAAATTATAATAAAATCATTCAGAGGAAGTCAATTATTTTCATAAATAACAATATTCATCACAAGAATTGAATTATTTTCAAAAGTAATAAAATTCAACTATTTTCAAAAATTTTAATAAAATTCATGGCAAAATTTCAATTATTTTCAAAAATCTTTCTTAATTCAGTAATTTGTATATATCTATTATTTTAATAAAATTTTCCAAAAGAATTCAATTATTTAAAAACAATGTTGACAAAATTCTACACGAATATTCAGTTATTTTTTTGAAATAATGAAAATTTCAAAGGAATTCAATTATTAGAAATAGAATTTGCATAAATTTTTTCGAAAAGTCAATTGTTTAAAATTTTATTTATAAAGTTCATCGGAATAATTCAATTATTTTCATAGATAATAAAACTCATTGCAGAATTTCAATTATTTTTAATACAATTTTAATCAAATTCCTCGAAAAATGTAATTATCCTTAAAAATCAGATTGAAATTCGCTGAAAGAATTCAATTATTTAAAAACAATTTTTACAAAATTCTACACGAATATTCGATTATTTTCTAAAATAATGAAAATTTCACTGGAATTCAATTATTAAAAATAGAATTTTTCATACTTTTTATTAAAAATTCTATGGAATTAATTTTTTTCAAAAAGCTTAATCGAAATTTTTGAAAATTATTTCAAGTTTTTATTTTCTAATGTATATTTAATTGAAAAATTTTCGAATAATCGAAATTTCGTAAAAGTGAATTGTAAAAAAATTAATTTGAAAATTCTGAAAACAACTTTTTCAAAAATTATTAAAAATAATTGATTTGAAAAGAAAAATTTTATTTAAAAATTGTAGAAAATAATCATTGAATAATTGAAATGATTTTCAGCGAAGAATTTCATTATTTGTGAAAAGTAATTGAATTCTTGCAAAAGTTTTCCAATATTTTTTAAAAATAATTACATTTTTCGAGAAATCCATTTAAAATTGTATAAAAAATAATTGAAATCCTGTGAAAAATTTTATTATTAATGAAAATAATTGAAATCTTTCGAAGAAATTTATTTAAATTTTCTTAAATAATTGAATTTCTGTGAATTATAAACAAATTCGTAAATAAGTCATAAAAATTTCTTTTGAGTAGGTATCTAATCATTTTTAGAGTGAATCTGAATATTTTTTATTGTCAGGGAAAAAGTTAAAATTTTTTCCGGAAATCAGGGAAAAATAAAATTAAATGTTTTTGGCAACCCTGGACTAGATCGTTTTTTTTTCTCCACGTATTTTGTAATTTTTACTTATTTCTTTCTATTTTTGATTTTTGACATTTTTATTGTCTTTGCAGGCGATTCTGATCACTCGACATTGAACAAAGCATTCCAGAATTCAACAAATAGCAGTATTAGTTATATGGATAATACATGTTTCAAAAGTGCAGAGGCAACGTACGGAACGTCTGTTGATGAAAATAATCTTCGACGATTAATTGAAAATGATACATTTTTAAGAAACATCTCTAAAAATGATTCATTCCCAATAAATTACAGAGCACCGTCACTTATTCTCGCATCAGGAAGTTCACAAGGATCGGCAAAAACAAAATTAATAGAATCAATGGATTCAGAAATTGAAGAAGGTGCAATGGATTCAGATCTATCATTTTATTCACCGAACCAAACAACGAGACACATTAATAACACCGGACCATCAATTTTAAATAAAAGACTTCCATCTGACGATGAAGAATTTATCGATTGCGAAACTAGTTTCAATATTCCAACACCACAAACACATCCATTAATGACAGATTCAATATTAAGTACAAAATATAAAGAATTACCCAATTATCTATCGCCGAGGAAACGTTTAGAAAATAATAATACAATTTTTAAACCAATTGCCTCGAATAATCATCATCATCCCGATGAAGATTCCTACGATGATTTTCCATCTGAAATTCAACAATTAACGACAATTTTAGAAGAATCATATCAAACAGTAAGTAAAAATCAATCAGCAAGAATATCGGGTGTTAAATTACTTTCAATTGTCGATGATTTAAAGAAAGGACCACTATCAAATTTACCGGAGAATAAAAAATTCAACGATACCGTTAAACATTTTGCTGATATTTTAAATAGAAATTCAAAGGAAATAACTGTCGATCAATTAACTTATATTATTCATTATTCATTGAAGACTATTTATAATTATTCGGATCGTGCGAGCGATGGTGAGAGTCTTCATAGTTCTGGCGATATATCGAAAACACATGAATTAAATTGTGATAATAGTGGCACGGAATTGGATTCAATTATCAATGAATTGAGACACATGTATCCAAAGGAAAAACAAATAGAAAATGAATCACCGCCCGAGTGGCCAATGTCAGAAAAATCCCTAGCACCATCAACAGTGGAAAAATCGATTTTATTCACAAAAACAAAACAAGCGAGTGGTAGAAAAAAGGAATATTTCCCCTCAACAACATCTTTGGGAAATAAGGAAAATTTCAATTCAATGAAATCTAGTCATGAAATGGGGAATAATTCACCTTCGAAGAAGCGCGTTTGTTTCGCCACAAAAGAGCAGACGTCGAAAATAAATCGTTATTCGTCAAATAAGGGAGGAAAGAAGAAGTTTGTGACAACACCGCATTATAAAAAAAATAAACTTTCAGAAACTGAAGATGAAGAAGAGAAATTTAGTTCAACCACTGCGAGTGAGAATTCGTTTAATGTTTTAGAACGAATGTTGAATAATCTTGAGGACGCCGACAATAGACGATCAAGATTAAGAAGAAGTATATCGTTGACTAATATTACAACAGTAAAATTGGCAGCTTGTGAAAATGGTGCAACTATTCCTAAGGATAGCCGTCGTAAGGATTGTCAGGGAAATGAGAGAGCTTCAAGGCATAATAGTGTAAGATTTCAAATACAGGAGCCGGTGAAGAAATACAGAAAACGTAGAAGCAAATCATTGGAACGTTCTCCGGATTATTCTGTCCACGTCAATAATTTTGTTTCAAGAGATGATAATTTACCGTCGACATCGGGTGTAAGGAAAAAATTGACATTTAACAAAACGGTGGATGAAGTTCCAAAAATTGTCATTACTTCCGAGAGTGGTGCCGTTTTTAGATCGCCAATTGTCAAAAGAAATCCATTAAAAACTGTTACTTCAAATTGTTTACCGCACACATCGCCTCGAAATCGTCGAAAATCATCGGGAATTGATAATAGTCACATTCCCGCTGTTTCGAAGTTGAGGCAGATTTTTTCACCCGTAAAAGGAAAAGGTGAGAACACTGGATTCAACTTATTAATATTATTTAAATAATTATTTAAATACAATTTTTTATTTTTAAATAACGTCCATAATAATAATTTTCGATTCAAAAATTTTAAAAATTTTACTGATGAAGTATTATTATTTAGGTATTTATAGAAAATTATATAAAATTCTTCGAGAAACAAATTATTTTCCAAAAATTATAAATAAAAATTCAATTATTTTCATAAATAATAAAATTCTTCCTAAGAATTGAGTTATTTTTAATATAATTCTAAATATTGCGAAAGAATTCAATTATTTTTATTAATTTTAATTATATTCTTCGAAAAAATTCAATTATTTTTATTAATTTTAATAGAATTCTTCGAAAAAATTTAATTATTTTCATAAAAAATTAAATTCTTCCCCAAGGATTAACTAATTTTTAATACAATTTTCATTTTCTTAAAAGATTTCAATCATTTACAAACATTTTCATAAAATTGGTTTGTAAGAATTCAATTATTTTCTTAAACAACTTTAATTACATTCATAAAAAAAATTAACGTCGCAAGAAGTCAATAATTTTCAAAATAATAATAAAATTCTTCGACGAAATTCAATTATTTTTAATACAATTTTAATAATATTCTAAGAAACAATTTAATTACTATAATTTTAATTCTCTTTAAAAAAAATCACTTATTTATAAAAATCTAATAAAATTCTTTGAGAAAATTCAATTACTTTAAAAAAATTTAATAAAATTCTTCTAAAGAATTTAATTATTTTCATAAATAACAAAATTATTTCCAGAAATTAAATTATTTTTAATACAATTTTAATTTTCTCATAAAAATTCAATTATTATTAAAAATTTCAATAAATTTGTGCAAAAAAATATATTTTTTCCATAATAATTAGTGAAATTTTTCTTGAAAGAATTTAAGTATTTTTAATTCTCTTGAAAGAATTTAAGTATTTTAAATTCTCTTGAAAGAATTCAATAATTTTTTAAATTTCACTGAAATTCGTTTTAGAAATTCAATTATTTAAAAAAATTCTAATAACATTTTTTGCAAGAATATAATTATTTGCAAAAATAAAAATTCTATTTGACGAATGAAATATTTTTTATATTATAATTTTACTTTTCTCCCAAGAATTCAATTATTATTAAAAATTTAGTTATAATTCTGCGAAAAAAATTGAATTAGTTTCATGAATAGAGAAATTATTTTAGAATTGAATTACATATTTACTTTCAATTTAATTTTCATTTCCTCGAAAGAATTCAATTATTTTCATAAAAAATAAAATTCATCTACAGGAATTAAATAATTTTCAGTATATATAATTTTAATTTTCATTAAAGAATTCAATTATTTTAGAAAATGTTAATAACATTTTTCTAAATAATTCAATTCCTTTCATAAATTACAAAATTCTTCCCCGCACGGAGAGAAATTTATAGTAGTGGGTAACATAATTGTGGTTAGGGTGACCATCTTTAATGCTACGTATACAGACAGCTATCTAGATAGTCACCGTTACCATCAATATCATCAGGAGTAACATCTTGGTAGTACGGGGTAGCATAACTATATTTTTTTAGCATCTGTGATGGTTGGCAGTAGCATAATTATAGTATCGTGTAACATCATCTTTTTAACATCAAAATCTGACTATCCATTTCTCTCAGTGCGGAATTCAATTATTTTGAAAATAATTTCTATTTTCTTGAAAGAATTCAATAATTTCCATAAATAATAAAAAAAATTTTCCAAAGAATTCAATTATTTTTAAAAATTTTAATAAGATTCTCCCCAAGAATTAAATTATCTTCAATAAACTTTTGATTTTCTTGAAAGAATTCAATTATTTTCAGAAATAATAGAATTCTTCTTAGGAAATGAATTAACTTTCAATTTAATTTTAATTTCCTGGAATGAATTCAATTGTTTTTAAAAGTTTTAGTCAAATTCTTTATAAGAATTTAATTTTTTCCTTAAATAATAAAATTGTTCTCAGAAATTTAATTATTTCACAATACATTTTAAATTTTCTCGAATAAATTCAATTATTTTCAAAAATTGTATTAAAATTCTTTGAAACAATTCAATTATTTTCATATAAATATAGTGCAATTCTTCCAAAGAATTCGTCATATTATGTTTAGATATAATTTAAATTTTCTCTAAAGAATTCAATTATTATTAGTATTAATATTATAATTATTATTGTTCTTCAAAATAATAGAATCGTTTGCAATCCAATTTTAATTAAATTCCTCGAAAGAGTTTAATTCTTTTATTTTTGGGCTTGTTTACAATTTTTTTTCAAGAATTCAATTAATTCAGATTCAAAATTATAAAAGTTACAAAAATTATAACATTTTTACAACAGAGATTTAATTTATTTAATTTATTAATAGTTAATTTAATTTTTTAAAATTAATGAATGAATATAATTTATTTACTTAATTTTCTCGAACTAATAAATTGATAACGTTACAGTGTCGACAGTCTCATCGAAAATACATCGAACACCATTGCAGAGAAAGACTCCAGAAAAGAGTTTAAATGAATCAAGAACTCAGTCATCGACAAATTGTTATAGACTTCTGTCGAATTCACAAAATTCGTCCCAAAGGAAACCATGGAAGCCATGAAATAACGTAAGAGGGGTGAGAGAGATCTAATTGGTTAAAATTTGTTTTTCTAAAAAATATATATATATTTAATGAAATATTCTAAAGTTTATATGTAAATTAATTATACAAATTTAAGGGGTTAAAAGAGACTTTTTAAAGAAAGGAAAAAATTAATTTTTATATAAACACAGAGGGCAACTAACATTTTTATATTAGACATTGTGTAATATTAAAATAGCTTAAAATTTTGTTATTGCACTTTAAAAAAAAAAATATTGCAAGAGTTTAAAGTGCAAGTTTTTACTGCTGTTTTTTTTTAAAAAAAGAAAACTATGTCGATACTAGAGTGTAAGATAAAAGTATAAAAAAAAACGTTTGTATCAACATTCCGTCAAGTATTTTTATATTATAGATTTCTACTTTGTTGTAAAAAAAAAAAAATATTTAACTGTAAAATGTCATATTTTTAGGGCCAAATGATTTTGACTCTGGAATTAATTTTTATAAATCAAAATACATCTTTTATTTAAAAAAGTAATTATTTTTTGTTCTAAATATTTTCCACATTCTATTGTTATTAAGTCTTATTATGTAAATTACAAGAAATTGTTTATTTTTAACTTTCAACTTTCATTTTTTAATAAATTTCGCAGCAATTCAATTCAATTCTTTGTCAGAATTGAAATATTTTTCAAAAATAAAAAAATTCTTAGCAGAAATTCAATTATTTTCATAAATAATAAACTTCTTATAAGAAAAATAATTATTTTTAAATACAATTTAAAATTCTTTCACAGTTTTCAATTATTTTCATGAATAGTGAAATTCTTCTTAGGAATTACTTTTAATTTAATTTTTATTTTATCTAAAGAATTTAATTATTTTCATAAATAAGAAAATTATTTCCAGGAATTGAATTATTTTTAATACAATTTTAATAAAATTTCTTGAAAGAATTTAAATATTTTAAAACATTTTCATCATATTTTTGGCAGAAATTTAATTATTTTCATAAAGGATAAAATTCAAGTATTTTTTAAAATAATAAAATTCTTCTCAGAAATTCAATTATTTTCAAAAATAATAAAATTCTTCACAGGAATTCAAATATTTTCAAAAATAATAAAATTCTCTCGAAAGAATTCAATTATTTTAATGAAATTCTGGCCGGAAATTCAATTATTTTTAATACAACTTTTATTCTCTTAAAGTAATTCAATTATTTTCATAAAGAATAAAATAATTTCCAAGAATTCAATTATTTTTAATACAATTTTAATTTTCTAAAAAGAATTAAATTTCTGTAAATAAATCTAATAAAATTCTTTACGGGAATTCAATTATTATTATTAATTCCAAAATTATTCCCAGCAATTTGATTATTTCTAGAAACAATTTTAATTTTCCCGAAAGAATTAAATTATTTTAAAAACTAGCAATTTAATTATTCTTGTTTTCTATGGTAAAAAATTTTAATAAAATTCTTTGCAAGAATCCAATTATTTTCATAAATAATAACATTCTTCGTGAGGATTCAATTAATTTTAATACAATTTTAATAATATTTCATGAAAGGATTCAATTTTTTTCTTAATACGTTCTAATAAAAAATTTCATTGAAATTCAATTATTTTCTAAATTTTTAATAAATTCTTCGAAACAATTCAATTATATCTATAAATAGTAAAATTCTTTGCAAAAATTCAATTGTATTTTTAATAATTTCACAAAAGAATTCAATTTTTAATTGAATTTTTAATTATTTTCATAGTTAAAAAAAATTCTTTATAGGAATTCAATTATTTTTAATACAATTTTAATAAGATTTGTTGAAAGAAATATTTGTTAAAATTTTAATATACCTAATTCTTCGATTTAGTTTAATTATTTTCAAAATTTTAATATATATACATATGATATGAATTTTCTAAAAATTCCTTTCCTAATTCTTCATAGTCTTAATTATTAAATTTTTGCAGTATTTTTTTACTTTATTCTTTAAATTTCGTGAGATACTAAAAATGATTTCACAATTTCAGCTACACTTTTTACATTCGTTAAATGCAAATGATGAGATCCCGGCATGGAAATAAGAGAAAATTCTCTGCAATTCGTTTTCATTATTTCTACAATATTCGGTGAAAATTCACCATCGTCAAATGATGAAGAACTTCTTAAAACTAAATAAGGACATTTAATTAGTCTCGCAATATTTTCTAAATGCTCCTCCGTATAAATCGCACGCAATGGTAAATTTAATTTCACCCTTGGATCGCGACTGAAAAAAAATTTACCATCCTCCGTTCTTTTTGCTCCACGTCTCATCATTATCTTCACGGCAATTTCATTCAATGAACAATTACTACCCGTTATCCATTTTTTGACAAATTCATCTTCCTCGTAACTCACACGATTTGTCACTGAGTATTTCTCCTCTAAATCGAGAAATTTATCAATATTTTTCGCATACTCGCGACAATATTCGTCGACATTAATTATTGGCCTATATTGTAAACTGTCTAAAGCAATGACAAATTCCGTATCATTTGGATAGAGTGAAGCGTAAATAAAACTCACAAGCGCTCCCGCTGAATGTCCGAGAAATTTTATTTTTCCCCAATTAAAGTGTCGTTTTAATTTTCGAATGAGAAGAATTGTTGTCGTATCGTCGTAGGCAATGCCCTGTGGTAACCAACTCGATAATCCATGACCAGGATTGTCTATCGCTAATATTGAATGATTTTTTAATAAAGGTGCTACTAAATCAAACGATCCGGCATTATCCTGCCAACCGTGAAGAGCCAAAATTGGCTGTCGATCCTCTGAAGAATTCCACAATTTGCCTGGAAAATTAATCTTATTTTGTGAAAAAATATTTTCTGATTTTGAATAAGGTTGCCACGCAATCTGAAAAACCTGGAAATGTCAGGGAATTTTGATCGGAATTCTAGAAAATTGTTGTTTATAATTTTCATAAATAGATGAACTTCAAAAAGTTTTAATATGAAATTTAATAAAATTTCAATTTCCATGAATTTAATTAGAAATCTTAAAAAATTTAGATTTTTGAAAAATAAAAAAAAACTCAACGAAAAATTGCAGTTATTTTTAAAACAATTTTAATCGAATTCAATAAATTATAATGAATAAAAAATAAATTTAAATATGAATTTTAGTTAAAAACATCTAAAATAATTAAATTTTCTTTAGAAAAGTTAAAAATGATAGCAAAATTTAGATTATTTTCAAAAATAATAAAATTCTTCGCAAAAATTCAATTATGTTCAAAAATTAAAAAAAACTCTCGTCAAAATTTCAATTATCTTTCAAAATAATAAAATTTTTCTCCAAAATTAAACGATTTACAATTACAGAAATTCTTAAATAAATGATTTAATTTGGTTAATAATAAGTGTAGTTTTAAAAATCTAGAAAAATTTCGTTTTTTAATCTAGGAAAACCTGAAAAAGTCAGTGAATTTCAAATGGGCAAAAGCGTGACAACCCTGCAAATTGAAACATTTCCCATTTTTTTTTCTCTTGAAAAAAAACATTGGTTTTTTGAGGAAAAATAATATTTCGAAGAGAAAAAGAATAGTATTAAATATTAAAATTTATTACACATTATATTTATAAATTACATACTGATTAATAGGTCAGTAGTTAATACTTATCGAATCGGTCAAATTGTTAAAATTTCAAAACCGATTTTTCAAATCCATCTAGGATTTTTTCTTTTCTAATAATTTACAAAAAATAACTCGATATGAAAATAAATATAAGTGTTTATAATATTTAATTTAATTTATTAATTTAGAATTTTTTTTCTATAATTGAAATAAAAATAATTAAATTTTATTATTTCTGTCTAGAAAGGGATTTATAACATCGGCGGTTCCTTGAGGATTTACCATGTGTAAATGGTGCGTTCCCGGCACCATGTGAACGGAAAATTCCTTACAAGAATTTTGCATTACGTCCATAATGTCCTGCGAGAAAATTGCTTTCAATTTGGACTCGGTCCCTCTTAGGAGAATATAAGGACAATTGATGACTTTTGCCACCTCCTTCAAGTGATCCAGAGTGTAACCAATATTCGAAGCATTCAGTCTAATATTTGGATCACGATTAAAATAATAAGTACCGTCCTCCTTTCGAGTTGCTCCTCGAATCATTAAAGTTCTGGCTGCGACTTCATTCAAAGAACCGTGCGTTGCCTTCATCCATCTTTCAATTGCCATTTGTTCCGTATGACATGGAGCTGGTGAATTTTTCTCCTCGTAGATGAGAAATTTATCGATGTCACTGGCAACGTCCTTATTGCTTTGTGGAAATCTCGTAGGAGTCAGAGGCGTAAATTGAAGCGCATCAATGGCAACGACAAATTCCGTCTCTTCGGGATAGAATGAAGCGTATCGAAAGCTAGCGATAGCACCACCGGAATGTCCCATTAATTTCACCTTTTCCCAGCCGAAATATCGTTTTATTCTTCGAATCACGTGAATTATTACTGAATCGTGATAGGGAATTCCTTTCGGTAGCCAGGTCGATATACCGTGACCTGGTGCATCTATCGCTAGAATTGATCTATTTTTAAGAAGTGGAGCTAACATATCGAAGGAACCAGCATTATCCTGCCATCCATGCAGGGCAAGTATCGGTTGTTTACATCCATAATTCCAAAATTTACCTAAAACCAGCTTTATTCTTAGTAAACAGAATAATTTCGTAAATTATAATTTAATATTAAATTTACAAGGTTGACACAAAAATTTAATTTTGTTTTTCCCTGACCCTAAAGAATATTCTGATTCACTCTAAAAATTATTAGATATACTCAAAAAATATTTCTACTACATTTATTTACAAAATTCTTTTAATTGTAAAATTATTCGAAAACATCAATAACTTCTTTTTTAAATAAATTATTTAATCATTATTATTTTTTTATAGTACTGAAGAATTTCGAAAATTTCAAATTCAAACCTTTTGAAATTAACAACTTATATAAATATTTATTATAAAACATAAAGATATCGATCACGCCGAGTCTTCGACTCGGAATGATCGCTTTCTTCATGTTTTATAATAATTTCAATTTCCATAAAATTTTTCAAAAAAAATTGAATTATTTATAAAAAATTTAATAAATTTTAGCCCGTGTATTTTGAATAAATAAAATAAATAAAATCCTTTCACAAGAATTCAATTATTTTTACAAGAAATAAAATTTTTCACATAAATTCAATTAATTAAAAAAATTTAAATAAATTTTTTTGAAAGATTTCAATTATTTTCATTAATAATAACATTTTTAACAGGATATCAATTATTTTTTATACAATTTTACATGAATTTCTCGAAAAATCTTGAAAAATTTTCAAGAAGTATTGTAAAACTTTTGTAATTATTTTCAAAAAGTTTTGGTAAATTTTTTGCAAGAATTCAATATTTCACAAATAATGAAGTTCTTCGCTGAAATTCAAATATTTTTAAAATCTACTATTTTAATAAAAACAATTCAATTATATAAAAAAATGGAATAAAATTTTTTGCAAAAATCCAGTTATTTCTAAAAATTCATGCTATAATGCTTTTAATATTATTAATTATTACCTAAAATTTTAACTAAAATTCATTATAAATCAATTTTTATTAAAAAATTTTAACTAGATGAATTCAATTACTTATTCTTAAATACAAAAATAAATGATTTATTGAATAATTGAATGTTTCTTGAAATTGAATTCTCACAATGAATTTTATTGATCAACAAATTTTTAAATAATTGAATTCTTTCGACGAATTTTAATAAAATTTTTAAGAATAATAATTATATTTTTAGAGAAATTCGATTAAAATTGTATTAAAAATAATTAAAATCCCGCGAAGAGTTTTATTATTTATGAAAATAATTAAATTACTGAGAACAGTTTAATTATTTATAAAAGTAATTGAATTATTGCGAAGAAATAAATAAAAAATTTGTAAATAATTAAATTCCTGTGAATTTTTATTATTTATGAAAATAATTAAATGTTTGCGTAGAATTTTATTAAAATTTTATTCAAATAATCAAAGTTTTTTTAAAAAATTTTATTAAAATAATAGATATTGAAAATAATTGAATTGAGGAAAATTTTTTAAAAATACTTAATTGAAATTTTATCAAGAATTTTTTTGAAATTTTGGATATTTGCCTTTTTTCTAAATTTCCTAACCTGTGGCAACCCTGATTTAATCAAACAAATATAATTACTAATGTTTTTTCAAAAAAATGGAAAATGTTCCTTGTCAATTATCATAAAAATATATTTAATTTATCATTATTAATTCAAAAGATTTAAATAATATCATGACTCGACAAAATTTACCTGCAATAGTTCCCCAGGGAACTTTGATCTGAACTTCCGTAACTTCTGGTTTTATAAATTCTGTCTTATTTTGTTGTAAATTTCTATTAAAAACGACACTCGCATTTTTAATTCTCTTACTAAGAATTCTCGAACAAATCATCTTGTTAGTTTTCGTTTATAAATAATACTATTTATTCTATTTATCCTATATTTATCACTTTATTAAGCAAGTTTTGCAGGTTATGTCACATGTAACAGATGACCACATGATGAACTCAAAAAAATATTATCGTCGATGATGCAATAACCTACATTTCTTTCTCTGACATTATGCATCATTGCTTGTTTATTTTCTATTTAAATTACAAATTAAAGTTACACTCTATGCTCTAATTTATTAATGCAAAATAGATGACAAATTTCGGAATAAATTAGAATATTTGACAATCAATTGAAGTCGTCTGCAACTGTCTGCAACTGCGTAAGACTCAATAATAAAATGAATAAAGTAAATAAAGTTCTTTTCTTAAAAAAGATTAATAGAAAACAAAATTTCTTTTTCAAATTATTCTGAAATTTTTAGTTTTATTAACTTTTTTTTTAAATAAAAAAAGGAACTTTTTATCAACTTGAATTTTAGTGCGCGTGTCACGTGGTGTTTTCTATTTCTAATCTAATGCCAACTTCACACGCTATTTTTTCTATTCTAAAGAAAAAAAAATAAAGAAACAATTAGAAAGAAAATCTAAATTCTAAACTAATTAAAATACTAACGAATAGAACGAATAGAATGATTAACCAAAAATGATATTCCAAATAAAAAAAATAAGAAAATATCTATTTTTTGAATTTGTATTCTAACGAATTCCTAACCTAACGTGAGAAAAATCTCGATATCTCGATTAGATGAAGAAGCAGCTATGTTCAGTGTAAAACGAGTGGATTAATTGATAAGGTCGTGTATACCGTTACACAAAAATGAAATAAATTATTCTTCATTAAATAAATAAAAATAGAATTATTTGTGGCGAACATTTAGAAAATGCATCGTCTAGTTTTAGTGAAACAATGAAAGAAGAATGGAAAGTTTGAAAATAAGGGAAATATTCAATGAAAAGAAAATATTGTGGTTGGCCGCGCGTTGTATCGCATAGGAGGCATGGTATCCCCATTCAAGGTCCAGCATCCGGAGCGAAAACAGCGGGAAATTAATACCAAGAAAATAAGCAGAAATTCTCGTATGTTATACCATTATTAAACAATTTTTTATATAAAATCCTTTACGCAATCGCCTCTCTCTCTCTATCTCTCTCTCTCTCTATTAATAATAGTCATTCACACAAACTTCCTTTATAGACAGTTATCGCATGTACTTTCTAAATTATAATAATAAACATAAACTCATTATCAAACTTTACATATACATTCACATTAAAATATATTGACAATCGTGAAAATAATAAACTTTTATTTGACCTAAAGGTTTGTGGAGCTAAAAATTCTTTGTTATTTATGTATTTATTTCAAAATGATAATGATTTTTTTTTTAATTCGACGATATTTTCTTTTTATTTACAGTCACACAATCGCCGAAGATTCCTACTCCAAAGTTATTGGAAAAAAAGTGTTTTTACTTGGATATTAAGAATTATGCTGTTTCAGCCAAGTTAGAGGCTAGAATTAAAGAATTTGGCGGGGTGAGTAGAAGACTTTATTTGTTTTTATTATTAATTTTTTTGTTTTTATTTAGTCGAACTGCTTTTCAGCTTTTTAGTAGTTTTCAATTATTCGTAATTGTTAGTCTATATTTATTACATAAATAAATAGAAAATAATTATTAATTAGAAAACAATTGCTAATTTTTTTTCTAAATGTTAAAAAAAAGAGTAGATTTAAAAAGTGACAATTGTTTTGATTGGAAAGACGAGAAATTTTTTGTTTTGAAAACAAGATTACTTTACAAAGTGTCATTAATTATTTCTAATTTCTTCGAAGAAAAATAATAAATGTCATTATCGAAAAAGGGCGAATTAATTATTCCCGCGTTAATGATCGGAATAGTAAAATAATTGAAGTATACACTGAATTCAAATGTTTTTTGTATTTAGATTTTCGAAAATTTGTCAAGTCAAAACAAGCGATGGAAAAAAGAAACAAAGTTCAGGGGTTTGGGGTGAATGCCCATCTTGTTTATCTCGATGTATATCCCGCTAAATTTAATCGCAACTATATGGTCGAAAGAAGGCGAATGGACTATAGATTTGTGCCCAGACTCGCTGTTGCTACGCTGCGGGGGCTCCGCCCTAAATTCCAAAGTCACGCGTACTTCCATCGTATATGTGATGTGAAAACGTTCGATACAATTGCTTTGAAAATCACCCCGGAAAACTGGAGTGGCTGTCATGTCAATACGTTTTCCCTGAATGGCTCTCGACGAAATTTAAGATTATCAAGTAAATATCCAGTGCCACCTTGTGAATGGTGAGCGAAGCTCGAGTAAACTGGATCATAACAATTTTTTCTCTTTAGAAACAAAAAGTATTTTTCAAAATACTGAATTTACTTTTCGAGCCTTTTTTCCACTTTCTCTAAATTTGAAATTATGTTCGTTTATTTTGTAGGATATTTTCTTTCATTTATCTTTTATTCATATTTCATTTATTTTTTTATTAATCTAAGGAAAGCTCGAAAAAATAATGCTGAAATTCGTGGAAATTTTCGTTTTTTTTGGATAATTTCAAGCACGTGGGAATATTTCCAAAAATTACTGTTGACAAACAAAATCAACAGACACTTAAGCGCCACCTTGTTGAAATTTTGCCAACTTCATGGTGTTTGTTTTAACCGGCGTTTTTTTCGAAAAAGGAAAATATTTCTATTTTCTGAAAAATTGGTCAAAAAAAGAGGATTAATCCTAGGGAAAATAATTTTCCCGCCTACTGAATTTCAATATTTGTGTCTGTGTGTCTGTGTTTAATATCATATATAGAGAAAAGCGGCGGATTCCGAGCGCCGCCTCTAGGCTCGTGAAGCAAGCTGTTAACGGCGAATGGCCATTTTGTATGTGACAGTTTTGCGAGTTCCGTGCGTCTCACTCTAATCCTCGTGGATTTCTTAGACAAAAAAATATGTTCACCAGGTCACAAGTGTCTTTTACAAATAACACATATAACAAAAGGACAATGTGCATTTTAAATGTCATGAAAATAAAGTGAAACAGGGAATAAATAAAAAGCTGGTGTTGTGTAAAAGGTTTCAAGTTTCGGGAGAGCGCTTGACAGTAGCCTACCATTAAAGAGTCTCTTCCCCAGCCTCGAAGTGTAAGTTGATGTCGACAACGCCCGCTTTTTTCATTATTTTCATCATTATTTCAATTATACATTTAATTACAAATTGTTTCCCAACAATTATCAAAAGCACGTGCTTTTTTTTCTTCGACAAAGTTTACGAACAACATTTCGGAGCATCTTCAAAGCGGGGACATGTGTGTGCAAGTATAATTAGAACGCAGGGACAACAATGCGACGACCATTGTTGTGCGGCTCACAAGCAAACATCGCCGCCCCGACAACTTTCAAAAGGATAAATATTCTTTAGAAAAAAAAGGAAACTTGTTTTTTTTCCAAAAAATGGTTGTATTCAAATTTTGTTTCTTCAATTCAGTTATACGAATGCAACATTCTCAGTGTCAACGTTATTTAACCTAAATTTTTCAACTCCCTTTACCCGCCTGTCTCTTGATGTTGGCGTTTGGATCTCAGGTCTTGATGTAAGAGAGAAAGGGATAAATATTGTTTCTTTTTTATATTCGCAAAATTTTCTTTCGAATACTCACCTCTTTTTTTCCTCAATTTTTCCTTTGTTGATTTTTTCATCAATTGATTACTAAATCGCAGAGAAACATATACACAAGCACCTATTCTAAATGTATCAGTGAACTACTTTCGCCTCGGCAGTTGTTGCACTCATTTCAACTCAAAATATGCAACGTATTTCATTTTTCGATTTATATTGAGCAATTGACATCAAGAAATATCAGTTCTCGCTCAATTCTTTTACTTCGAAATACAGTCATTATTTCGCTCAAGTTGTATTTACATTTGTCTTTTTTTTTACAGTGAAACGATTTTAATATTTTTTCGTTTGTAAAACAATAAATAAAATGTGAAGATCTATGACAATTGATAGTGAGTAAAATCGATTGTTGTAAATGAAGTCGAAAAATTCTAATAAGAATTCGTTATTCTTTTCATTTTATACACGGGAAAAGTTTCATATTTCTGATGAAATGCATTCTTTGAAAAAGCTTTTAATAATTATTTTTCTGATTCTATTTTCGCTGATTCTGTTTTTAGCGAAAAAGATGATTTATTCAAAAACAATTGTTTGTTATGAAAAAGGTTAGAGGTATTTGAAAGTTGGTTTTTAGTGAATTTTAACGGATCCGTTAGTTTTATGTTCTAAATTACGAAAATTGAATTTTTGAAGAAATTTATTTGTATTGCACGAATTTTTATGGAGAGAGAGCATTAAAATTAAAATTAATTTTAGTTCATAAATATTTTAAACAAGAATGAAATTTTTAAAAGAAATGCAAAAGATTTAGGTTCCTAAAGTTTTGAACGTTCAAATGAACATTTTTTTTCTTTTAATTTGAATTTTTTTATACTTAAATAAAATTATTCTGTTCAAAAAAAAAATTATTTCTTTTAAGATAATGATTAATAATTATTTTTTTCCAAAAAATTTGTCTGATTGTCTTCGATTTTCTTTCTTATTATTAAAACCACTTGGACGTTATTAAAGATTTTCTATAATTTTTTTTCCAGTTATTTTGAAAAAATATTTAAAAAGAAAAAAGTTTCGTTGATTTAAACGTTCGAAACTTTAGGAAAATAAAGATTTTCGAATACATTTTTAATGCCAAAGTGAATTAAATTTTTAATTGTACAAAATCCTCACTATATTAAAACAATCTTGATTGTATAAATTTTCGCATTGTCTCAGCAAAACTTTATTTTATTATTTCACTTTTTATTCTCTTTACTTCGTCTGAAAATTTAGTCACATTTGCAATAATTCTCCAACTGCTGAAGATTAATATTTCACTTAATATTTAATTCACTTTCAGTTTAAAGAATTTTTTTAATTTTTAACGAATCTTTATTAGTTATTTTTTAATTCATATCCATACTTTTAATTATGAATACTCTGAATATTGAAGAATTGAGAATTAATTATCTACGAATGATTTGAAATTAATAGTTTTAATATTTAGATTTTGCAATTGGATTAAATTAAATTAAATTAGGAAGATCAATAAAATAATAATTGAAAATTAAAAATTCCAGGTTACTTTCTACTTTCGTGATTAATGAATAATTTTGAAATCGTTTTTAATGAAAGTTAAAGAGAATAATTTTTATTTGTTACAGACGATTGAAGTATTTTTAGTGAGAAACGTCGATATTGTGATTAGTGACCGTGTTGATAAGACAGGACAGACAAATTCAGATAAACGCAAATGGGGTTACGCCAGTGGAGGGAGCGGGGGGCCCCCCTCGCTGAGGAGTATAGAGGCCCCAACACCAACTCCAACACCCCCCACACCATATTTAAATGCTGATGGTCCCCTTTCAAATTCGACAAATCTACGGGTCCAAACTACCCAAAGAACAGTGAGTAGTCAATTTTTCCCCCTTTTTTTTGTAAAATGAAAACTGATTTTTCTTATTTTTTTTTATTCTTTTCTCATTTAATTTTCTAAATTAGAAATGTAAAAAATTGGGAATTATTTCTATCATTTAATTTAATTTGTTTATTTTGTGGTAATTAATTAATTTTTGAATTTTTTTTTCTCTGCAGAAATCGCGAGCGGATGCAATGTTGGAGCGTGCTCTGACACAGCCACTGCAGTGTTCCGTGGATCCACTTAAAAACGCTCAAACCTGGAATATTCCCATTTGGGCACCTGAGAAACTTCAAGCGTGGCTCGATAAAATCTACACGTCTTATAAAGATACACACATCCAGCAAAAAAATCAATCAGTTTCGTCGAAAAATTTGAATATCAAACAATTGAAAGCACCTTACATCAAGTTCGAGTCCTATCACAGGTAAATTGGCTTTTAAAAAATATTTTTATTTATTTAATCCTGGAAAACTATGGATTATATTCAGAAATTTTTAAAAATTCTCATCAAAATTTCCATTATGTTTATGGAAATAATTAAATTCTTTTCCAGAATTCAATTATTTTCATCCAAAATTTTAATACAATTCTTGGCAAAATTTCAATTATTTTCAAAAATTTCCCACAATTCAATGATTTTTAATAGCAATTATTTTAATCAAATTTTCCAAAAGAATTCAAGTATTTGAAATTTTTTTTTATAAAATTCCACGCAAACCTTCAACTATTTTCATAAAATAATAAAAATTTCACAGAAATTCAATTATTTACAAACTTCTTGTAAATTTCTTCGCAATCTTTCAATTATTTTCATAAATACCTAATTGAATTTTTTTCAATATCTACTATTTTAAGAAAATTTCTCAAAAGGATTCAATTATTTTAAACAAATTTTAAGGCAATTTTTTGCGACAGTTCATTTATTTTCATAAATAATAGAATTCTTCGCAAGAATGCAATTATTTTCATAAATATAAAAATTCTTCCTAGAAAATTTATTATTTCTAGTAAAATTTTTAATTTTTTCGAAGGAATTCAAATATTTTTAAAAGTTTAATCAAATTTTTTGCAAGAATTCAATTATTTTCATAAATAAAAAAAAAATTCTTCGCTGGAATTCAATTATTTTTAAAAATTTAAATAAAATTCTTCTTCTTCAAGAATTCAATTATTTTCACAAATAATAACATTTTTCACAGAAATTGAATGATTTAAAAATTTATATTAAAATTTTTTGCAAAAATTCAAATAATTTCATTAATAATAAAATTTATTCCAGTAATTAAATTATTGTTAATATAATTTAAATTTCTTGAAGGAATTTAATTATTTTTACAATTAACAAATTTTTCACAAAAATTGAATTCTTTAAAAAAGTTTATATTAAAATTCTTTGAAAGAATTCAAATACTTTCATAAATTGTAATAACATTCCACGTAAACCTTCAATTATTTTTATAAAATAATAAAAATTTCACAGAAATTCAATTATTTACAAACTTTTTATAAATTTCTTCGCAAGCTTTCAATTATTTTCATAAATAATAAAATTTTTACAGGGATTCAATTATTTTCGTAAATAATAAAATTCTTTTTAGGAATTGAATTATATTCACAAATAATAAAACTCATAGCAGAATTTCAATTTTTTTTAATACAATTTTAATTGAATTTCTCGAAAAATGTAATTATTATTCTTAAAAATTTTATTAAAATTCGTCGAAAGAATTCAATTATTTAAAAATTTGTTGATAAAATTCTTTATAGGAATTGAATTTTAAGAAACATGCAATTATTCACTAAATTATTTTTCTTGTATTTAAATAATTGAATTCTAGTAGAATTTTCTAATAAAAATTGATTTTAAAATTGATTTCAGTTAGAATTTTTGATTGTAATTGAATATTAAAAGTATTAGAGTGTGAATTTTTGGAAATAATTGAATTTTGAAAAGGTTTCAAATTTAATTAAAGAATTTGTAAAATTGAATTGTAAACAAATGAATTAAAAAATTCTCAAAGATCTTTTTCCAAAATTATTAAAAATAATGTATTTATAGAAGAATTTTAGTTAAAAACACGAAAATTTACAAATTATCGCAGAAATTCAATTATTTTCAAAAGTAATAATATTCTTCTCGAAAATTAAGTATTGTTTTAAAAATAACAAAAATTTAATTTATAGTTTTAAGTAAAATGTCCTCTTATTTGACTCCGTAATTTCATTTTTGGTCCGTAAAGTCCGTATTTTTAAATACTTTCATTGGTTTGACCCCTGTTGTCATGAAATTTTTTTTGTGCCAGGAAAACTCCAAAAAAAAAGTCAAGGAATTTTATTAATTTGGACTGTTATAAAATTTTTGTTTTTGTCAGAAAACCACCGAAAAGATGTAAAAAATATTGTCAAGAAAAGAATTATGTTTATAATTACAAGAGAAATAATAATTATTTTTTTTCTTCAAAGGGAAACGAAACCCGTGTTTCTGGAATTACAATCTTGGCCGACGATCAATTTTGACGGTGAACGTGGTTCATGTCCGTTTGTATTCAAGCGGCGTTCAAAGAAAGAGGCATCTGAAAGCAAAGAAACCAAGGAAAACTGGGAGGCTGCAAACGTAAATAAGGAAAAGGGCAAAGAAATGACACGTAGGCCTCGTGCCACAACTCGTGCTCGCAGGGCAGAACAACTTGTTTCTGGATACTGCGAAATCTGCCGCTCCGAGTATCGAGATCTAACAAAACATTTGCAAACCGAAAAGCATTTGAGTTTCGTACAAAATGAAGATAATTTCTTGTCCCTTGATAGACTTATCAGTACTGGCGCTAGCGTCGAGGCATTTTTGAAACTTAACTCGTCAAACGATGTCAGGTACTTATTTATTTATTTATTAACTTTTTATTTTCTTACTTTCCAAAGACTCACATTATTTTCCTTTAATTAATGTTTTCATCATTAAAAACAAAATTGCATTCTCATTATAATTCAAACTGTAAACAAAAAAAAAAACAATCATTTCACAATATTTACTTTCGAGTTAAATTCCAAGAGTGGGAGAAAATTCACCATACGAAAAGGTGATTCACAAGTTTTTAACGTTCTAATGAAAGAAACAGTTTTTATTAAAAGTATTTTCATAAATTACTGATTGCGATAAAAATTAAAAACTGAAATTATATGTTTTGAAATTTTATAATTAATTTTCTCTCTTATTTTTTCAATAGAGACAGAAGATTATAGTAATAAAAACTTAAATTGCAGGCTTTGCACTCATCTACTAAAACCTATTATTTACTAAAATTTTTTACGACTTGCTACTATTTGGATACTTTTTTAGATTTGTGACACTTACAAGCTACTTTTTTCTTTCCATTGAGAATTTTTATTACTTTAAATCCGCTAATAGTTTAAATAAAAAAATTATTTTTAGGAAATTTAAGAAAATTCTTAGAAACGATTCAAAAATTTTAAGAATATTTTTCAGAAAAATTCAATTATTTTCATAAATAATGAAATTCTTCGCTGAAATTAAATTTTTTTCAATACCTAATATCTTAAGAAAATTTCTCAAAAGGATTCAATTATTTTAAACAAATTTTTAAGTTCATTTATTTTCATAAATAATCGAATTCTTCGCCAGAATGCAATTATTTTCATAAATATAAAAATTCTTCCTAGAAAATTTATTATTTCTAGCAACAATTTTAATTTTTTCGAAGGAATTTAAATATTTTTAAATGTTTAATAAAATTTTTTGCAAGAATTCAATTTTTTTCACAAATAATAAAATTTTTCACAGAATTTGAATGATTTAAAAATTTATATTAAAATTCTTTGCAAAAATTCAAATACTTTCATTAATAATAAAATTTATCTCAGTAATTAAATTATTGTTAATATAATTTCAATGTTTGGAAAGAATTTAATTATTTTCACAAATAATAAAATTTTTCACAGAAATTGAATTCTTTAAAAAAGTTTATATTAAAATTCTTTGAAAGAATTCAAATACTTTCATAAATTGTAATCAAATTTTTCCCTGTAATTAAATTATTTTTAATACAATTTCAATTTTTTGAAAGAATTAAATTATTTATATAAATAAAAAATTGTCTCCAAAGAATTCAATTATTTTTAAAAAAATTATTAAACTTCTTCGAAAGAAATCAATTATTTTCAAAATTTTTGATAAAATTCTTCGAAAGAAATCAATTATTTTGAATAATTTCGATAAAATTCTTTATAACAATTCGATTTTAAGAAATAATTAATTATTCTGTCAATTATTTATTTTTGCGTTCAAATAATTGAATTCTCGTAGAACTTTCTAATTAGAATTGGTTTAAAAATTAATTTTAGTCAATATTTGAGATAATAATAAAATATTAAAATCATTATGGTCTGAATTTTTAGAAATAAATTAATTTCAATAGATTCTTGAATTAAAATCTTTGAAAATTTTAATCACTGTAAATCTGTAATAATATTTAAATATTAATTTTAAGAAATTATTAATTCAATATTTCCCTGAACAGTTAATAAAGTTTTGAATAATTTTATTTAAAAGTTTAAAAAAATAATAATAATTGAATTTTGAATGAATTGAGATTGTAATTTTTAAGAATAATTAAATTTCAAAAAGCTTTTACATTAAAATTATTAAAAATTTGAATTCCTGTGGGAAAATAAATATGAAAAAGTATTTAAATATTTATTTAACAAAAATTATTCAAGTTTTGAATATTTTAATTTAGAAAATATTAAAAAATTAGTCTTTTAAAACATTGCAATTAAAATTTGTTAAAAATAGATAAATTCTTCTTTTGACTTTTCAAAATTAATTTTTAAATATAATCGTATTTTTGAAGAAATATAACTAAAAACTTGAAAAATAATTGAATTTTAGAAAGATGTAGAATTGAAGTTATTAGCAGGATAAGAAGAAAAAGTGAATATTTTTTTTGTTAATCAGGAAAAAGTCTGGAAAATACAGAATCAAGTTTTTGTGATTTTTGTGAATCGACTAAAACGAGTTTTTTTTTAATGTCGAATTTAATTTTTCAATAGCCTTTTTAACAACTTTTTTTAAATCTACTTTTTGCAATTTTTTAAAGAATTAATTATCGAGTGCGAAGCCTGAATTTGCAAATGAAATAAATAAATTTCCATTTAAACGTTTAGAACTTTAGGAACTTTAAACAATTTAAACAATTACAATAATTTCATTATAACACTTATTTTCTAATTCATCTCATTTAAAATTACTCATTTTTACAATCATAACACTTTATTTCATAACACTAACAATTTTCCCCCAAAAAACTTGTTTTTTCAAATTTTAATTTCTCTTTTCAGAAAGGACTGTAAACTGTTTCCGAACGGTGATTCGAGTCTTCATGACAACACAGTGTTGTCAGAGCAAGGGAACAAATCACCAACGGAAAATCTTGACAATTTTAGTGTTGACGAGATTAAAATGGTTCAGTGTAATGGTGCGCGAAGGAATCTTAATTTAAAATTAGGTTCTTCCCATAATTTACGAACACGTGCCAAACATGAGAGTGGACATTTATTAAGATCAAAGGGCCGATCGTGGAACGATGATGATAAGGGCAATGATAAGAACTATAATGATAAATTCGAGGGTTTTACGATCAAAAAAAGAGCAAAGGGAACAATTTGGATTGAGGAAGACGATCCAAATGATGAGAAATCCGAGAATGAAAGTATAAAAGATGATGATAACAACGAAGAGTGTAATGAAAAAGTTCTTATTAATCACGAGGAGGACTTTAAGGTAACACTTCGTAAAAGTAATGGTCACAGTGAAACGAATAATTATAATGGAAGGGAGGTAAAGACAAGAAGTGATAATAATCATCATCTCTCCGATATCAATGGTAAACGGAAAAAAGATTCAAGTCCAAGGTTATTAAATGGTCACGAGGCAAATGAAAATGAATCGCAGAACGTGAAGAAGGAGGTGAGTAAAAAGGAATCTTCAGTTAAAAATTCATCGATTAAAGAAATGAATGGGGAAATTGGTAAGGAGGAGAATATTGACGTTCCTTGTAATATTGATGACGAGGAGGAGAAGGAATGTCGTGGTTTTAAGGCCCAAGATGAGAAGGACGATAAAGCGAGGGGTATAAAATTTAGTCGTCGTGGCGGAAGGAGTTACAAGGGTCGTCAGAGATTGTCGGTTGAGGAGCGATTAATTGAGGATAATCGTGCCTATTACAAGGTCGAGGTACTTGGTAGTAAATTAAGATCGAGCGTTATTCCACCACCGTTGCCGCCTGTTGTTGTTGTTGCCGCCGCCGCTGTCGAGAAAGAGGTTTGCGAGGAGGAGAAAAAAGATGAGGGACCGTCGAGTGAAAAACCCGTTGTTGTGCGTTTTAAACGTGTTCGAAAATCGGAACTTTCCTTACTCAGCGATGAGGCGGAATCATTTATGTTCGGTGAGACTAGGCGTGACGATTCAAGTGAAGCTAGTGAAAATGAACAATCTAGTGTTTTACCAAAAGACAGTGAAAGTGAACGTGAAAATACATTGAATTCGATAAATCTCAGTTCGTCGGACAATGAGCAAGTGAAACAGGAAGGTGGCGATGATTCTCAAGATTCGAATGCAAAAAATTGCAAGAAAAGGAGGCGTACACAAGCTGAGGCATTAATAATGGATAATGTCGATTATTATAAATTCGAAACACCAGGTAGTCGATTAAGATATCAAGCACCAATTACAGGAATTGAACTTACGAAAAATGAAAATTTAGACGAAACAAATTGTAAGGAGGATGATCGAACGGTCGATAGATTATTACCATCGAAACCATCGCCTGAAATTGAGAGAATGCAATTTTCCTTCGAGGCAATACCAAAATCGGAACCATGGTATCAAACTTATCAACGACAGGATGAGGGCGAGGAATTTTGGCATTATTTCAGTGAATCAAATGAGCCGAAACCATTTTTATTACCTTATGAGATTGAGAATTTTCATGAGACACTTTTGAAGAGGTTACACAAAATGGATGGGAGGAGAAAAAGTCGAGGTCGTGGTACGTATGTTGGAAGATCGCCAAGAAAAAGTCCAAGGTGCCATGCTTCCACATTGGCGATTATGTCGACAATTATCAGAAAACGTGAACAGCAACAGCAACACACTCCAAATTTAACGATTATCGATGAGGAGAGTGTTGGAAAATTAGAAACGAGTTTTAAAGTTGAGGTTAAAGTAAAGTCTGATGTTGATGAAGATCTCAAGGAAATTGCGAAGAATATTGACGAGATGTTGTCTTCGAATGACATGCAGGTGAGCATAAAAAGAAGATTATTCTTTCACTTTTTTTTACAAAGACTATTTTATTAGACGTTTCTTAAGAAAAAGAAATCAGTTTCTTTCATTTAACTTTCGAACTTTGGTGAAGTTCACGTTTGTCATCAACATTTTAAAAGAGAAACTTTCTAATCTAATTATAATAAATTTTTTATGTTTCTTCATCCACCAGTTCTAAAAGAAATTTTTAAACAAACTGGTGATTTTCTTTTTGTAAAATATTTTTTAATCGTTGATTATAAACTTTGTGAACTTCAACGATGAACATTTTATATTTGATAGAAATAAAATTGATAAAAATGAAACTGACATTACTAATGTTTCTGTTAACGCAAAAGGAGAATTTTTTTTAAGACTAAGAAGCAAATAATTTTTGATAAAAAGAACTTAAATATTTCTTCCAATTTACTGTTTTTGTTAACACAAAAGAATAATTTTTTTTTAAGACTAAGAAGAAAATAATTTTTTATAAAAAGACCTTAAAATATTATTTCTAATTACTAACGATTTTGTTAACGCAAAAGACATTTTTTTTTAAGTCTAATACGTAAATAATTTTTTATAAAAAGAACTTCATTATTATTCTCATTGCATCCAAAACAGATTTTCAATTCAATTGAGGCGGGAAAGACAAAAGTTTTAACTTCTTTATTTAATTTCGTCTTCGTAAACTTTGGTAACTTCAGTTTCATTAGTCGAATTTAAATAAATCGTGAAAATTAAATACAAGAATAATTCGTTCTTTAAAAATAATTTTAAACCCAAATTTTAGAATTCAGTTGAAATTAATTAACTCATTTAATTAAATATTACTTTTATAATAATTCGTATCAGAATTTTTTAATAATTCAGTGTTCTAAGTTAATCAAAATAAATAAATAATTAAATTGCGGAATTATTTTAATTAAATTTCTCTCTAAAGAAATTCAAATTTGATTATTTGCTTATTTTAAACAAAAATAATTGTTTAAAGTTTCCAAAAAGGGAAAATAAAGTACACTTTATACTAATTTACTTAAAGATTGAATAAAAAAATTGTTTTACAAACAATTTTAAATTTGCAATTAAAAACAAAAATAATATATATTTTAAAAGTTTTTCTAATTTTTTCCTTTTTAATTAAAATGTATTATTTTTTTATTGTCAGTAATTTTTTAGTTTTGTTTAAAATTCAATTGGACAATTATAAGAAAAAATTTGTATGCTTTGTAGAAAAATAATTTATTTAACGTTTTACATTTTTTTCAAGTTTAATAAACGGTTGTAATTTTTTATTTACTTTTCACAAAGATAGAAACATTTGAAAATTGGTTGAGAAAATTAGAGAAACTCCAGGGAATTATCTCAAAAGTATTTGATTAATATCACATTTTTAGAACTACTGAAAAAATAATTATGACTTTTTAGTGTCGAAAACATTTTTGAAAAATGTTTTCTTTCATTTTCTCGTTGATTTTTGTTCACTTTAAAAAAATGTAATTCATAATGAATTTGATAACAATAACTTAATTCTTTTTATTCTTCCGTAAATTATTAAATTTATTTTACATAATCAAATTGTAGAATAAATTTCAGAAATTTATTTGTAATTGTAATTAACTTAAAGTAAAAAAGATTTTAGTTAAAAAAAAGTTGCAATTTTCAGAAATAATTCAATTCCAGAAGGTTTTAAAGTAAAATTTTCGAAAATTTCAATTTCTGTGAAGAAATTAATAATAAATATTTATTTTAAAAATTCTGTAACTTTTGAATAATTTGAATTTAAAATTGTAAAAAAATTAAATAAGTGATAAATTTTTAATCAATTGTTTAAAAATACTTGAATTGTTAAAAACATGTTATTAAAAAATTATTCAAACTATGTAATTGAATTTTTGTGAATAATCGAAGGAAGTTCGTCACAGTAAATAATTTTATTTAAACAAAATTCTAAGTAAAATAAATTTTTTGCTTGTAAAAATTATCTTTTTTTTAATAATTGTACTCGAAATTTTTTATTTTATTTATTTTGTAATCAATCCAAATTTTTTCTAAATCGGGATCAAGAAAATTTTTGCTTCTGGAAAGTAGGGAAAAGTCAAGGAAAATAAAAATAAACAGACATAAAATTTGTCTGGCAACCCTGATAAATATTGTTCATATTCAACAAACAAAACTCTAGAATAGTTTTTGAAAATTGAAATAAACTAGTATTGCTTGTGAAAATTAAATAAAAATGAACAATTTTTTAATAAACTTTGAGAAAAAGACACATTTTTTTCTTCTATAACCGAATTTTTAAAAATTTTTGTGAAATTGATTTGAATTATTTATCTATTTTATTTATTTTTTGAAGGTCTTTTTTGAGAATGAATTAATAAACAATTTAAATTTTCTACAGGACGAAATCAATCCGTTCGAGGAGGATTTTCTCTCAAACACCGAGGAGACAGCTGTGGAGGAAACGCAATTACCAAAAGGTGCGCCGGTGAATTTATTGGAATTACTGGAAAATTGTCACGATCTCGTCCCTTGCCTCGAAAATTCATCGTGTGCAAGTTCCGATTGTGGCGATGGTAATGGCGAATCACCACTAAAACGTCGTAAACGTAGGAAAAATCGTACAGGCTGGCCGGGAAATAAATTACGACGGAAATTGCATAACAAACAATTGTCAGCATTCGAAGCTGAGAAGAAATTAGAAACTGCCGAACTTCCATCTCTAAAAGAAGATGTTTGCGAAAGACTTGAATCACCAATCGAAAATGAATGCACTGATAATAATTCCAAAACATGTTCACATGAAAATAACGAGGAAAAACGAACGAGATCACAAAACACTCCCGACAGAAGAAGTCAACATTCTGATGAATCAAAAGATCCTGAAGCATGTAAACGGGTTCAAAATTCAGATGATTCAAAAGTAGGAAAGTCTTCCAAAGTGAAAGAATTCTCGGAGACGGAAGTGTCTACGAAAAATAATGAGGATTCGGAGAATTTAGCAAAGGAAAAAGAAATATCGTGCGATGAGGAATTGAATAGTAAAGAAACGGAAGATGAGGATGAGACTTCGCGTTTGGGTAAGAGGGAGAGGAGTTTACTTTCGGAAAAGGAGGAAAGAAGTTCACAATCAAAGAAGAAGGATTCTAGCTCTGACACTGTGAAACAACCAACTGAATCATCTTCTTCTCAACTCTCGGAAAATTCTTTGGCTAACGATGAGAATTTGAAAATGGGAAATAGAAAACGTCAACACCTCTCGGCGACATCATCGGAGAGGGAAACACTCGCCAAGAGATTAATGAGAAATAACGTTGTCTCATCACCGAGAAAGCGTAATATGAAAAAATCGATAATTCTCAATCGTAAATGTCGTCGTTCAACGGGTGGCTCATCAGAGACGCGAAGTGGTGTTATTAATTTTAAGAAACAGTGTAAAGCAAGACGAAGGCCAATGCAATCGAGTAGTAGTCGTTCATCGGGCGGCATAAGAATTTCCACAACGTCGTCGTCAATAATTGACGATGAAAATTGTAAACAAAAAAGTACATTTGTAAATATTTCATCGAGAACGCGATTAAGGAGAGTGAGAGATGGCCTCTCATCAGAAAATGGTGATCTCGATTGTCCACTCTCAGAACGGGTCAACTCGCCGGTCGCGACGCCAACCGATTTACAAAATAGACGTTCGAGCATCGAGTTTCAACCTGTTGTTAGAGTGATGAAGATCGAGGATCAAGTCGATCGTGATCATAGTATTCTATCAGTGGCCGTCGCAAGTAATCGTCGTTTAAGAAGTTCCGGCTCATCGAAATCGAGTAGTCAACCGCCGAAGAAACGTTTTAAAAGTGGCCGGGGACATTTTAGTCGATGGTTGAAAAGTAGTTGAGGATTTCATAAAAAACAAAGTGTACCTCGGTACGATCACGGAAACAAATAAATAATCAATTCTCCTCGTACCCCCCTCGCTGAAAAAGGAAATCTCCCCCTTAACAGACTGACTCTTATAAAATATTTGTTCCGGATCGTCCGCACGTGTACATTCTGTACAAATGGTATTTGTGTATCTTTAGTATTTAATACCGCTGACACCATAGTTTAGTGTATACTATTATAATTATACAGTGAGAGCATTTTCAAAACGAAATATTTTTCTTTTCACTTTAACAAAATCGGTGATATTTGAGATATTACTATTAATTATAATATTGGCAGTTGAAAATTTTCATTAGAAAAAACTAGTTTTTCATTGTAAGAAAATATGAATTAATTTTCGTATATTGACAACAGTTTCTACCAGTCAAGATTTTTTTTAATAATACTTGTTCTTTTTTTTATTTCAAAAAAAATTATGAAAAAGATTCTATTCAAATTCCAATTTTTAAAATATTTATCTTTTTCTTATTTTCGATTTTGTCGATAATTCAGTTTTAATATTAAAACGAAAAGTAAATAAATTTTAACAAACATCAACGGATAGAATTTTGTAAATAGTCATTCAGTGAAGAAAATAAAATGAAATTTATTAAAATCTGATTGAGTATACGAGAATTAAAATTTACGGGAAATAATAATTTTTGATTGAGACGATTAATTAAAATTAATTCATATTTATTTTTCAATAAAATTTTAAATTATGTTTAGTATTAAAGATTTTTAATATTTTTTCAAATTAATATCAGTAGATAGATAGATAGATAGATTTATTTCTTTAATACTACATATGATTTATATTTTACAAAATTAATATCAATAGTTGAATAATTAATAATAGTAATTAATATTAGTGATTAATATTAGTAACTAATATTAGTAAAATAATATTAAAAATTAACATTAATTACTAATAATCGTAATTATTATTGAAAGTTGATAATAATCATTAATATTGAATATTAATATTTGTAATTAATATTAGAAATTAATATTTAAATTTAATATTAGTAATTGATGTTGAAACTTAATATTAGTAATTAATATTGAAAATTAATGTTAATATTTAATATGGAAAATTAATGTTAAAATTACTATTAGTAATTAATATTGAAATTCAATATTAGTTAATAAATATTGAATTTTATTGTTAGTATCAAATATTAAGAATTAGGTAATATTAATATTTCATATTGAAAACAAATGTTAATTTTTAATATTGAAAATTAATATTAATATTTATATTAATATTTAATGTTGCAAGTTAATATTAATAATTAATATATTTGCTTTTTGTTAAAACAGTTTTTTTTATTATTTTGTAATGAAAAAGCCTGGATATTTATTTAGACTTTTTTATTACAAAATAATTAAAAATTTGTGTTTATATTTAATGTGGAAAATTAATGTTAATAATGAATATTGAAGATTAATATTGATAATTAATAATGGTAATTAATATTGAAATTTAATGTTAATAATTAATATTGAAAATTAATGTTAGTAATTAATATTGAAGATTAATATTAATAATTAATAATGGTAATTAATATTGAAATTTAATGTTAATAATTAATATTGAAAATTAATGTTAGTAATTAATACTGAAAATAAATTTTAATATTCAGTATGGAAAATTAATATTAATGTTCAGTATGGAAAGTTTATGTTAATATTCAATACGGAAAATTAATGTTAATGTTCCGTATGGAAAATTAATGTTAATATTAAGTAAATATTGCAAATAAATATTTCCAATGATTAAAAACATGATATTATAATAAACGAAGTAAATATTTTTATATTAATAATTTAAATTATCAGCATTAATGAATAAAATTAACTGCTAATATTATTTTTTCAAAATGAAGAAAACGTAAGAAAAATGAGAAAAAAGTGTTTAAAAACTATTAATATTATCGACAATTAAAATTTTGTTTATATAATTAACTATCAGTGATGGTATTAATAATTGAAATTAATTGTCAAAGGCATAAACTTTAAAAGTTTTATTAATCCAGTTATTCGTACAGGAGCAAAACATAATTAATTAAAATTATTCCAGTCCCAAATGTAAAGAAAATTATTTATTTTGTAAGCATACACTTAATTTATTTGTGAAAGTGATTCTTTTTTTCTTTAAATTAATGTGAAAATTGTTTAATGGAAAAAACACGCATGCAATTGATTTGCGAAAATATAGTTTTTCGAATTTCTTTTCTAACAATAGTGAATTAATTAAAATAATCACATTAGTTAAATTCATTAAAATAATTACATTAATTAAATTCATTAAAACAATTACATTAATTAAATAAATTACAATAATTACATTAATTACATTAATTGAAATAATTACAATAATTACATTAATTGGAATAATTACATTAATTATAATAGTTACATTAATTTATAATTAATTAAAAAGCTGGTAAATATTACAATAACTGGTTTATATTGCTTTGAAATGTTTACAATTATGTAATGTTACTTATTAATAGTTAATTGGTGCAATTATAGGAAAAATTAATTATATATTAATTGTTAATATTACCGGGTGATAAATTGACATTAATTGGTTTATATTATCATTGATATGGTTAATTAGAAAAAAAAATTAATTTTGAGATAATATTTTTAGATAAACAATAATTCCAAAACTATTGATTTTGCTCTCTTTTTGTATAATTGCAATTGATTATAATTATAGATCCCCGAGGGCGGTGTAGATAAAAATCGCCAAACTGTACATTCTTTAGATGCGGTCTTCGCGTTCTTTCAACTCTCTTTTGTTTATTCTTGTTTTTTTTCTCTTTGTCGTCTTATCCTGTCATAATGACGATATCTGGGTATTCACGTGACCAATTGTTTATAATTAATCTACTTCTTTTTGTAATTATTTATAGAAATTCTATCTATATTAACTTTCTTTTTTTTTTTTTTTTGTTTTTGAAAAATTGGAAGAATATATTATAAATAAGCCTTTTCATAAATAATAATTAGTGACGTGAGAACCTGTGTAAAAAAAAAATAATTTAAGTTTTTTTGTTTAATGTGTAGTACATGGATTTTAAAGTAGATGGTCTTTGGCGTTCGAGATTATTTTTAGGTTTTTTTTTGTTTTATTTCTAAACAAGTTTTTTTTTTTTGTTGGAAAGATTTTTTTTTTAGATACGCAAGACTGCATTCAGCTTTACGATAAATATATTATTTTTTTCGTTTTAGTACACATAATGTATTTGTATGTAATATTCTATTTTAAATCCATGTAAGGAATCACCTGACTATCTTATTTGAAACAAAAGAAGCTGTAAGTCTCATGAGTTTGAAAGAGATATTATTATTAAAAAGAATACGAATTTTCCATAAATATTATTGTTTTTAATGTTTAGTGTCCTTTTTCTGGTTTGGCGCATTTTTTCATTAATTAGAAAATATTGAACTTATTTTAATTTAAATCGTTTATTATTTAAATTATTTTAGTTTTACTAAATTTTATTTCCAGATAAAATTCTTAACAATTGAAAAATTGTTCATAAAATTTTTAAATCAACTTTGAAATTGGTTTAATTATGTATTTAAAAATTGTAAACTTGAAATTCGAGTTTCATAATTTTTATTTTATTATTATTATTTATATACATATTAAAAATTTAATTTTCACTCTAAGTCAATCCTTCGCGTTCTTTGAAATTCTTCTTCAATTCTGCCCATTTCTTTTGTTTTCTCTTTCGTGACAATATCACATCCTTCATTAAAACATTTGTTTGATTTTCAATAGATTCTTCTTTGTTGAAAAATTTATCCAATCTTTGTATCATAATTTCACGAGCTAATTTTTGATTTTGAAGTAAACTTCTTGTTTCTTGATTTTTAACGACAATACCAGTTGGTTTGTGTTTTAATACAACACAACTCGCCGTTCTGTTTATACATTGTCCTCCTGGACCACTTCCCAGAACAAATTGTTCTTCGAGATCTTTTTCATCAAGCACTGGTACTTTCGAATAGTCCAATAATTTTTTAAAAGACTTGAAACGAAATTGCATCGAATTCACATTTTTTTCTTGTACTAAAAATTCCCTCGATAATATTAAATTACGTGGTATAATCTGTCCTAGATTCAGTAATTTTAGAAGCATTTTTCTTACACTACTTTTTTGTTTCTCAAAAAAGCTTGTCCTTTCTGAAAGAATCGCAAAAGAAAATATTTTTAGAATAGATAAATAATTGGAATTTATAATACTGAGAGGTAAATTAAGAAATCGAATTAATATTCTGAATTTAAAGATTAATTTCCTCAATTTTAACGATTTTAATGTTAACAAAATGTTCAAGAGAGTAAAACTAAAATCACTTGTTATTTGAGGTTAGAATTATTTTTACTAAAACTTTTTAGGAAAGGAATTTTAATTATTTACCTGAATTTGAAAGTCGACTAACTTGCTATTACCCAGACTTTGATTTTGCCGAAAAATCTGTTTAATTCGAGATGTAAAATAATCTTTATCGGTATATTTCAAGTTTTGTCTGTATCGGAGTAAATTTTTATACAGTCTTAAAACTTCACTACTCATTTTTTCTTTCGTTTAGTAAAATTAATACAGCAAATAAAAATTCTCTTTAATCATGTATAGTTGTAACAGTTTGAGAAAAATAACAAAGTTTTTTAATAATGGAACATTTTTCACAACAAAAGACAAAAATTTGCACTATTTACAAAATTCCCTTGGTGCCGAATTTCTAACCTAATCTGACAAATTCGACCAATGGGATTCATTCTTCATCTTTGTCCAACAAACACTATAGCAAAATTCCAGTAGGTTCCATATTTTGCACTTATTTTCTTCTTTTGCTGTGAAAAAAGACTCAAATAAAGATAAATTTACTGCTTAATATTATTAATTACTTGCAAAAATTGTTTAGTAAGTGTTTTAATTTATATTTCTCTAGTTTATTCCTTAAAAACAGTTTTATCTTCGCAAAAGAGTATAAATGAGAAAATTTTGAGGTTAAATATGTTCGTATCATGTTCGTATTTAAAAGATTATTTATTTTCAAGGAATAAAAAAGTGTTAAATAAATTAATAAACAATTGTTAAATTTAATTCATAAAATTCTTTATTTAATTCTTTCAAATTTTTAATATTTTTGTATTAAAAATTCGTAAATTGCCGCCTTTCTAGAAAAATCGAAACGGCGGCCATTTTGTATTTATCGATTTTTGTTGTTTGTTTGCAGCTGACTTCAGACAACAGGAGGGCTGGCAGTCGCGTTTCTCCCCTTTTGTCGTGCAGCAAGAACAGCCGATTGTCCGTGTTCACCTCTTGTTTCCTCCCTGTTCGAACAAAATTTGTTCGTTTTCCAGTGTCGAATTTATCAGTGAGTGCGTGTTAATTCAATTATAAACAGGAGCCACTTTTATTTGGTGAGTCAAATATCCACATATTTACATGATTTCAATGAGCATTTTTAAAAAAAAAAGTCTATAGAGAGACAAGTCAATATTCATGCGCTGTGTGTATAATTTCCCACTTTCCTGAAAACGACATTTCACAAGGGTTTTCGAGAGGTTTCTCCTTCGTGCCAGGTCAAAATGAAAACCCAAAATTGAGCGTCATTGTGCGTTTTCAATAAAATTTGAATTGTCGTTTTTCTGATTTGTATATATATCTTTATAGACTTTCTATCATTGCACATGAAAAAAAGAGTTATATACACGTCATTTTGCAATGATAAAATCCATATCGCTGGCATTGTTCTCGTATATATAAACGGGTTTAGATTATTTCAATTATCTTTATGTATACCTGTCTGTTTTTACCTGCTTATTTATTGAAATTGTCGAAAGACGACTTTTTCGATGGTCATACAGCTGACGAATAAACAAAAATATTTAATTTGTATAGTACTGGGGAATATTTTGAAAAATTTAACGAAATCCTAAACAAGTGTCAAACGTAACCTTAATTTTTTTCTACAAACAAAACTTTAATTTTAAATAACGAATTCGTTTAAATAATTGTACGAGTAAGCGAAAAATTAATATTTTAAAGAATTAAAGAATTTCAGGTATGTGCAATTTTTCTTCTCCGCTTTTTATATAATTCTTGATTGTTCTAGTATATAATTGTCTGACAAGAGGAATTTTTTGATGAAATACGCGAAAAAGACAATAAATGAGAAAAATTCCCTTGCACAATTGTTATTATTATTATCATTATTGCGAAAAAGAAAATCCCGAGGTTGATAGCATTAACTGTAAAATATAATGTCGTTTGTCGTTGTAGATATATAAATTTTTGCACCATTAATAGTGAATCATTGATGACAATTGATTTTCATAGTTCCCCGTTTTTCGCGTTCTTATATAGTTGACTAACAGTTTTAGTAGCTAAAGACACTTGGCGATGATTTATACAGAAATTATTTTCACCTTTAATTAAGACTCTCTGCCAAAGTTGAGAAATACAACATTCATGATTTTGAAATTATAACAGTTAATAATATTTTAACAGTGACTTTAATATATTGGTTAACATTTTGGAAAAGTCTGATGAAAAATATTTGTTTACAATTATTTGTTATCTGTTTCTACTATATTTAAATGTTTTTTTTTTGTTCCTTCGTTTGTTTTCGAAAATTTCTTCTTTGACAAAACCGGGTTTTTTTTCTTCAAAGCAGTAAAAAATGTCAATGAATTAAATTAAATTTTGAAAAATTGAATTCTTAATTTTAAAATAAATGAATTAAAATAAAATTAAAAAAAAGTAAACAAGCTATAAATTTTTTTCAATGACATTTATTGATATTTTCAATTTAATATTTTTGCGCGAGTTATTGACAGTTTGTTAATTAACCGATTGGTCTTGAATTTATTATTGAGTCTTGAATTTAATATTGCGCGTACAGTCATTGATTGTATAAAAGACCAGAATGACTAAATTGCCTGAATAGTTTAGAACCAGCTGCAGTGCATTTGCTTTAACTAAAACAATGTCAATCAAGTGAAAGTTTGTTGCACTGTGTGTATATAGGAAACGAGTATTGATAAATATTCTATTTATTATGCCGCACTTAAAATATAATACTCAAAATTAAATTCTTTTTTTTCTAACTCGTTGATTATTGAAATTTTTTCTTTTTTTTCAAAATAAAAAAGAAAGAAAAAAAATTTGAATAACGAAACAAGGAAAATACGCATTTGCAAAATTAAATTATCAATATTTGCGCGTTTTTAATTCCTTCTGGCCTGTTAGCTCACAGATTTCCTGTTTAAGAAAGTTTCATAATTTTATAAAGGTGTGTGTTATTTATAATATGGGATAAAATTTTAAACTGTAAAATTTTACATAAATTTTCTTTTAAAAACCGAAGGAAAATAATTACAAAAGATAATTATTTACACAACGTTTACGATATTAACCCTTTGAGGACCAAATTTTTTCTTAAAAAATCGCGATTTTTCATTTTTAAGCAAACTTTTCAGGGAAAGTTATTGAAGTTTTTTACTTAAAGACCAGTGTTTGTGATACGAAATTTTCCAGACTATGTGAAAATTATTGTTTCAATATTCAGTTTTGAAAATTAAGAAATTTATGCCCGAGTTAATAAAAAAATGTTCATGTTGCCTAAAAGCAACACTGATCCTCAAAGAGTTAATTATTTTGGAAGAAAAAATATTTTTATATTTTTATATTTCATCATAAAATTATTACTTATAAATTATTTAATGAATAATTTTACTTAAATATTTCAAAATTAATTGAATTTTAAAAGAGTTGCGTTTACAAATTTTCATAAATAGATGAACCATAAAAGGTTTTAATTGTTTTCAAAAGTAATAAAATTTTTCGCAAAAATTCAATTATGTTCAAAAATTTAGAAATATTCTCCTCAAAATTTAAATTATCTTTATAAATAATAGAATTTTTCTCCAAAATCCAATCATTTTCAAAAAATTTCTTCAATTCAATGATTTTCAAAATCTAATATTTTAATACAATTTTCCAAAAAAATTCAATTATTTAAAAAAAAATTTCATGAATATTAAAAATTTCAAAGGAATTTAATTATTTACGAATTTTTTTTATAAATTTCTTCGCAATAATTCAAATATTTTCATAAATATTAAATTTGTTTACAGGAAGTCAATTATTTATTAATGAATTATTTATTATAAATAATAAAATTCTTTTTAGGAATTCAATATTATTTCCATAAACAATTAAACTCATCGCAGAATTACAATTATTTTTAATACAATTATTGTAATCAAATTCCTCGAAAAATGTAATTATTCATTATAAATTTTATTAAAATTTGTTTAATTTGTTTTAATTCAATTTTAAGAAACATTCAATTTTTCAATAAATTATTTATTTTTGTATTTAAGTAATTAAATTGAATTCTAGTACGAAGTTGAAGTCCACAACGTTGATCAACGAAAAAAATTTGTTTCCTCTATTCGAATATTATTTTTAATTTAATATTTAATTGTATAACAATTATTATCAGAACATAAACATCAATCTATTTTTTCTAAATATTTTTGTGTCAATATTGTTGCGATATATTTTATTAATTTACTAAGTAAACAATTTTTTTCGTTGATAAACGTTGTGGACTTCAACGGGGTTTCTAGTAAAATTTTTTATTAAAAATTGATTTAAAAAATGAATGTTAGTTAAAATTTTAAGGTTTTAAAAAAGTTTATTTGAGTTTTTTTTTAAATTATTGTAAATTTTCATTTTTTTATAATATATTTAATTACAGAATGTCCGAATAATTGATTTTTTATTTATAAAAATAATTAAATTTTTTCAACTAATTGTATTACATTTTTTTTAAATAATTGAATTCTTTTGAAAAATTTTATTATAGTAGTAGATTTTGAAAATATTTGAATTTCAGCGAAGAACTTCATTATTTGTGAAATATAATTGAATTTTTGAAAAAAATTTTCCAAAACTTTTTAAAAGTAATTACATTTTTCAAGGAATTTATTTAAAATTTTATTAAAAATAATTGAAATCCTGTAAAAAAATTTATTATTTATGAAAATAATGGAATTCTTACAACGAATATTATTACATTTTTTAAAATAATTGAAATCCTTTTGAAGAATATTATTATTTATGAAAATAATTGAATTTTTTTGAAAAATTTTATGGAAATTTAAATTATTGTAAAACATGAAAAAATCAATCATTCAGAGTCGAAGACTCGGCGTGATCGATGCCTTCATGCTTTATAATAATATTTTTATAAGTTGATGAATTTCAAAAAGGTTTGAATTGTTTTGAAGAATTTTAATTCCTACGGAAAAATAATAATGATTAAATATTTATTTAAAAATAAAGTTATTGATGTTTTCGAATAATTTTACAATTAAAAGCAATTTGTAAATAAATGTAATAGAAAATTTCTTTGAGTTTCTAATAATTTTTAGAGTTAATCAGAATATTCTTTAGGGCCAGGGAAAAAGTGTCAAAAGTTTGTCTGGAAAGTAGGGAAAAGTCAGCGATAAACAAAATTGAATTTTGTGGCAAACCTGTATTAAAAATTTGCTTTGAAAAATTTTTATAGTATAATTTTCTGAGAGGAATTTTTTTTCCTTCTAAGAAATGTTGATAATAATAAACTTGTGAACTTAACTAAAGTTGCAATAAATATTATCAAAGCAGTGAAAAAAATTCGTTTCTTCCAATTATTTCCGATTTTCTCTTTTATTAATTTTTTAGGTGTATAATTATTTTAGGGAATAAAAAAATTAGTAACAATATATTCCTGACTAGAGGATTTGCCGTTTGTACACTAACAAATTGTATCCATTTTGCGCTTGCCAGTGTCCTTCAACTGATCAGATGGTCGTGTAATGGGATTCTATTCTTTAATTTTCTTTCTCTTGTTGTATGTAGAGTTTGCACACACCATGTGCTAAGCTATAAATAGTTACTTGATCTTGAGCCCCACACACGGACATACACACATTTTACACACTTATTGCTTTATCTTTCTTGAATTAAAAAAATAAAATGCAAGAATAAATGAAAAAAAAGGATATGAGATGAGAAAAGAAAAAAAAGTGCGTAAAGAACATCCTGAAAGTTAATATATGTTTGATTTTTCACCGCAAGGTCATTTCTAAAAGCACAATTTGTCGTCTTGATGTGATAAGATTATCATATAAACACGTATAAATATATAATGTGAAATGGCTTAATCGCGACTAAAGTAAAAAGCCATTAATCTAGACATTAATCAGATCGTTTCCTCTTTCAACGGAAGTGTTACATTGGTGTAATACATTTTTAATTGATGATTCGATGTTGTATAGATAGTGCACATTTCTCGCACTTTTTTCTTGTTATTTGTTTCAATTTACGAATTTTATTGTTCTTTAGGGAGCGTTCAAAAATTACGTAA